ATACTCTCATTGGATCCTGAAATTGGCATCATAAGAGATATCCACCTTCTCTCTGTAGGCAAGGAAATCAATAGCCGTACTTGGATGGAGGCCGTGTGCACAGCGGATGCCTTTTCAAATTGGCCTTGCCATCGCATCTTGAGTCACACTGTTTCCGGGCCAAAATTCCCCAGGAGAGCACAGTACTATACAATGACATCCTTGACGTGCAGCCTTGATAATAATAGTATCGCCGAAAGAGGCTCTGCCACTGTATGGCATTTGGTAAGTCCACTTGAATCCAACCAATCCCATCATAATGAACACTCTTACCTTGTGGTATTCTAAATAGCATCTTTGCCTCAAATAGAAACCGTCTCTCCATGCCATCCAGTAGGTGCTGCTGCTGTTTCATTGCAAGGCTCGTTAATTAACATGTTTTGCTTTGTACATCCAATGCCATGCATACCATTGAGCCAACGTACAGCATTCTTGCTTTTGATATCAATGTCTTGTTGTTGCTGCCACAGGTACCATAAGCCAACGTATTCAAGCTACAGTAAATGCAATGTAAGGTAACAAGGATAGCATTCGCTGTTCATGTCGACATACCCAAGGTAACAATGTGTTGGGACGTCTCCTTGATGGCAACCATGAATAGAATACACACGACACACGATGGCCCCTTTGGATCTTGTATAAACGAGAGAACAGCAACCTACACGTGAACTTTAGTATCTCAATGTCCAACTTGAATAATAAAGTAATGCAGCGTTTGAACGTACATGTCGTATTGCAATGGAAGCTTGAGTCATGGGCAGATCGCGCGCGTGCTTGTTGTTGAATGTCTGCAACTGGAAAGTGTCGCCATTGACCACATGTTCACCCCAATGAACGCTGTACATTGGAAGGAATGCCAGCAATTAACGCGTTGTAGTTTGTAAATGGAGACAAGCTTACTTTTTTTTGTGAAGTGGAAGTGAAGAAGAGTGGTCTCTTTGTTCCTCCTGTTCGCTCCAATTCGTGCACTCCATGCCACCCCGCTTGCTACAGCTATTACTGTTTATACGTACCCTCAACAATATCCTATGCTCTTAGCTCCATAAGAATGACCACTGCTCAAGTCTTCGATTGAGAACAGCTCTCGTAATTAAGCTATTAGGTCTGTGCTGATTACATCGATCGATTAGTTATTATGCAACTCCACTCCTGAACCAACTTGTGTAACCTACTGTGTAACACCTGCCCCACCATATATATGATATCTCGCTTTCCACCTTTCCGTTTGCAGTTCCTCTTTCAATGCAGAAAACAACCAAGTGATCCGCCCCTTGCACATCTAAGCTGATCGTACGATACCCAAAGTATTATGCTGAATCCAATCTTTCAATAAAAAGTCGAAGAACACGTAGACACGGTATTGTGGACGATGTACGTACATGATACATAAGGGAACAATATAGCCAAATTGAATAGGGTACATACATACGGGCAAAACATATAGAGTCATTAGGGATAATTGTGTCATACTATACTTGATTGCTGTCGTCATGATCACCCCTCATCCATGATTGCAAAATAGGTGTTGTATGCTTTGGCTCGAGTATTATTCCAGTATCATCCATAGCTGTGAAACATCTCCTTTCGTCAAAGACACAAGCCCTCTCCTCAATTCCATCCGAACCATCCTCCTCCTGCAGCCGTATGCATAGGGCATGATTCATCGTTCCTATTGATGACGCGCCAAGCAACCAAAGCAACGTTCCAGGGTTCGCGTTACTGCATTTGATTGCATTCATTCATCCATCCATCCATAACCATTGTAAACCCAATATTGCGGCTGACATGCTTCCCTTTCCATCCATCTGTTGGTCAATCCCCTTTCTTGGTCATTTTCCATCACATCTCAACCAGCTAAAGGTTACTTGTATTGTGGCGTAGTTGATAGCTGATAGCTGATAGCGCGTCATCCACAATAGACATCACGTTCCAAATGGGCCAAGGGAACCAAACCAGACAACGTATACACTTCCATCCATCCCCATATAGCAAACCAATATTCAGATCCATATCCATATCCACAATAAGTCGTATGTATTGAACCAAGTTGCTATGCATAAACGAAGCTGCTTCTATACAATGACTATCTGCTGTTCAGGTAAACCAGGCTGTAAGGCAAGTTGCTGCAAATAAAGAACGCTGTTTGAGGCAATGAGCAAAGGCCTTGCTAATAGCAACTGCTGGAATGAATGCTGTTACGCTTGATTGTGGTCGAGGAGCGTGCAAGAGCGTGTGTTGTGTCAAGAGACTTGTGCGTTGTAGAAGAGTGACAAGAACGCTGTGTACACGCCATGGACTTGTCATTCAGCCAAAGACAATCGGATCAAGGCATTCATAGGATTGACATGATGGGTTGAAGCAGGACAATCGTTCGCAGCTTGTGGTTGTACTTGAATGGGGCCAACAGTGGAGAATGAGAGAAAGAGGCTATTTGCTGACAGTGTTGGAATTGAATTTGGGGAAATCAGGGTTGCGTAGTAGCAGTTGTGAGCACGCGATCATGGTATTCTTACACGCATTGTAATAGCAGCATATGATGAATCAACATCCAACCAAGGTAATGATGCACAGCCATTTAAATATGCCTGTAAACAACACTTGTGACCGAAACGGGTACATCCAAAACTTTCTGGGACTAGATTCCTTCTTTGTTCATGGCATAATGGTAGCAATAAATATACAGAGAGAGACGAGATAAATTTACAAATACAATAAGAAAATGAATGAGAGAGGGTATGTGTGTGTGTGTGTGTGTGTGTGTGTTCGCAGTATACAATGAAAGATGGATGCAAGTTATTAGGACGCCTACTTTGGATGACAAAATGGGACCTTTGTTGATGATAAAAATGAGTTGATGGTAATCGTTTTTGTTGTTGTTCTAGCATGCAATGGAGGAAGAAGTTGATGGTGTGGGTTGTGGCGTCCAGTTGCAGCAGCAGTCATCATTGCTGACAAACTCTGGGAATGAGACATAGGTTTTTTCAAAGAGAGTGAGACTAGCATTGGCCATGTCCGTGAGAGCTTGTGCCTTCTTTTCATCCATGTCGTCGCCAGAGCCGTCGACATCTTGCTGACGACGATGCTCAAAGGCTTGGGCAAAGGATTGGAACCAGCATTGAAGCATAGCAAGAGTGGGCTGCATGATGAACGGAATATAAAGTACAGTAGTAGATTGGCGTATTGTATAAATGGCAATGAACAAAGAAATGTGGGAGAGCCTTTTTATATACACAAAGAGTTCCCAGTGATTGTTTTTTCTTTTCGTATGTTTGTTGCACCGGAGGGAGATCCGAGGATGGCAAATCGCTTTGGGTTGTCATGAATGGTAATCCCGTGATAACGTGGCATTGCACCTTTGGTGACACAATGCTTGTTCCTCCTTTCTTCCTTGCATGCTCACTTCCCATTGGCTTTGGTCGTCATTTTATTAACTGTGTATGTTTATAAACTACGCACCCAAAATACAGAAAGGAAAACCGCACAGAATCGTGATGTGATCATAAACCCCCACAAAGGTGTCAAATCTCTGTGCGGAAAAGATAAATCATAAGACGCTCGCATGCATTACCCAAAATCTTGTTTCGGATGCGTGCCGATGATTGAGCAAGTACATAGTGATACATACACATCCGCGGTAACCGATCACCATGCAGCGGCAAAATTCAACCCGTTATTCATCCCTAGCTCAGGTGTATAATAAGATGCATGTTATAGGGTCGCTGTTGCACCACACAAGAAATTTATTCTACGCACAAGAAAAAGTAACTCGAACCATATCACAACAATAGTGTGGCGTATCACATGATGATGCGCAATCAACATGAGATGTTGGATGGATCGTGCGACTAAGGATGGTGTATGTGTTGCATATGAGAAAGCACAACACGCTATTACTGTCAATGTAAGATTGATCATTGACCAATTCTGGGAGCAAAGCCGAACACATGACGCTCACCTTGTTCTACAGAGTGTCTCTGATTGTGTGTTTTTGTTACACAAGAGAACAAGTGTTATGGTGACAAGAGCTGTCAACAAAGGGCACTGATGTAACCAAGGAGAGCTATGGTTTCCCGCTCGGGCCCTGGCTGTTGCTCCGCATTGTTCCACAATGTGTATGCTTTTCATCTCTTTGCAATGCCATAGCTGATCCTATCGTATGCACTTTCAGCAGCATGCAGGCATGATCCCTAATAATAGTAAATAACCTTACGATACCCAATACATGTGGCATCACTCTACAGCGTCAACAACAATGAAAAGAAGTTGATCACCTCTACACTCTTAATGAAAATCAGCCCGACATTGAAGTATTGAATAATGCGATATTTGTATTGTGTAAGTGATGTAAGTGAAGTATTCTATAATATGCAAATGGTGAAGGGAGCGAGGAGGAAGCGAGTGAGAGAGATGGTGAAAAGGGTATTGATCAGCATATATACAACGGTTACGAGAGGAAATGCATGTGTGTTGTTGGCACTATTAATAAGCATTGATCAAGCCCTTGATGGAATCGATGGTACCAAAGATGAGACCCACAATACCAAGAAGAACAGTGAGAGCACACCAAGCGAGCTCGTAAATGGGCTTGTTGCGAATACCTGTGAGACGCAAATAAAAGACCACAGGGAAGGTGAAGATAAGACCACAGTTGGAGAAGGAGCCAATCAAGCTCATGAGCAAATCGAAATGGGGCACCGTGCATGCAATGACACCAACAATGCAAATGAGAAGAATGCGGAAAGAAGCACGGAAAATAAATTCGAGAACACGACCCCAACGTTCAACGGTGATGTTAGCCATGGATTCGACATCGAGTGCAAAGGAAGTGAGCAAAATGGGAGCTGCCAAAAGCACGTGAAGAGTCATCAACACGATGGCAATGATTTGAGGGACACCATCGGGAATGCTGTTGTAGATAGGGTTGACAGCGAGGTTGCCGTAAATGAAATAACATGGTACAGCCGTCAAAAAGTACATAAAAGCACATGTAGCCAAGCCTGCAGATACAACTTTGGGCCAATCCTTAGGGCGTGTCATTGATTGTTCGACGTGGGGATACACTGCGTTGCCACCGAAACTAACAGAGATCGTTGCCAAGGCGATAGGAAATTGATCCCAAATGACGTTGTCATGGTGTACAGGAGGAAGGCTCTTTTTGTCAATGCATGCCACAATGAACACAATGAGCACCACAGCCAACGTTGAGCCTGCACCAAAGGCACTCATCCATGCCATTTCCTTCATGCTCTTGATAAACACAAATGGGATGGCAACAACGGCACAGCAAATGATTGTCCATGGTACATCACCAATAGCACCTGCTGTATCAGCACAAAGATGTTGTAAATTGCCACCAGCAAGCACCATATATAAAACGGGTGCACCAACAAGAATCCATGCGTTGAAAAAGAAGACGACCCAGCCGCCAATAGGTCCAAATGATGCAGTAGCAATGTCCTTGTAGCTTGATAACCGCTTATTGCCCTTTGCATAAAGACATCGTACAAGAATGACACCGGTGTACTATAACAAGGATTTTTGTAAGCAAACATTTCTATAATACATTTCATGGGTGACTTACAGTGGACATGAACCAAGCCAGGAACAAAATCAAAATACCAATCCAGCCACCTTGACGCAAGGAGTAGGGTAAACCTAAGGTACCGGTACCAGCAACCACACACACAATGTTGTAGTAAGCGGTCCATGAAGAGCCAGCGTGTGTTCGATCCACATCTTGAAACTCGCTTTGGTATTCGTAGTCTTCATCTGCTCAATGAAAAAGAAAACAATAAATAATCCATACAACAGGTTCATGCAATCGATGTTGGAATCCATACCAGTGGCAACGACTTGTTCAGTGGCCGGTGGGACAAAATCGTCTCCTTTCTTCTTTTCGCCAAAAAAAGCCATGAATGGGGAAGGTGCAAGACGAGTGCGTGCTGGCTGAAGCGGATCAATTGGGACGCAAAGAGGCTTGACAGGTTTTTATACCCGGCATCATTTTTTTCTTTCGCCGACTTGACTTAATTTTTTTTAAGTTGTCGGGAGGTACCCTAATCTGGTGATCACAGTTACCGGTTTTTGTACAAGAAGATGATTTGATATGCCATTGCCCTCATTTTAAGCATGATGTTGCAACATTGAAGATACCATCATTGTATTCTAGATCCACACACTTGTAGATTACAAGATGATGTTTGCCAATGTCATAAAGGTGGGACGCTAAATCCACCCTAAACGATCGGTTTTGATCGGAGCAAGCAAGACACAACATCCTCTTGGGAAGGATTTTTCCCACAATGTTTCTCACGGTGGTTACCCAATCGACGAGAACATGTGACAAGAGGTAGATCAAACAACCCTGTCAAATCCTCGTTGATACCATAACCTAGGACTTGTATGTTGAAGACATGATAATGATCTTCACGGCCATGACATTGAATGGTTCCACTGCGGAGTGGTAGCCGTGACTTTTCCGATTCTAGACATTCTTTCAGCCAAGTTATTGGATGTCCCAGTACAATTGACTCAGAACGAATCACAGACATCCCCACTTTTTTCGTGACTCACAAGCTGCTTTTACGTTATGGCGGTGTCGCGTTGCTAGCCAAGGCAAATGCTTCCCAGCTATTGATAGTGCTTGACAACCGGACCTTAATCCATATGACCTATCAACTTTTTGACCACATTGTAACCGTAAACTTACCTAGGGAGCTTATTAACAAGAAGTAGAAGCCTATAGTATATCAATAACAGCTCAGCACTCAAAGGATATTGAAAATACAACAGGCAAAGTTGCGATTATGGTTACCGTTACCAAGGCAACCTATTGCCATGGAGATGATCTCGATGCCTCACGTTGCCAAACATCACTCTTTGAAGCTTTGACCATCATGTGATCCAGCTATGCCAACATTTGATTTATATTAGGTAAAATGAGGAATACGCTATTTATACTTCATTTGTTGTTTTGTTTTTACAATAGTTGATAGTGGTAGGGAAGAAGGGTATGGTCAGCATATATACAATGGCTGCGGGAGGAAAGATGTCAAAGATTATTGGTAAGCCTTAATGAGACCTCTAATGGAATCGATGGTACCGAACACGAGACCAACAATACCAAGCAAAACGATAAGAGCGCACCAGGCGAGCTCATAGATGGGTTTGTTGCGGAAACCAGTAAGACGCAAGTAGAATACCACAGGGAAGATAAAGATCAAACCACAGTTGGAGAAGGAGCCAATCAAGCTCATAAGCAAATCAAAGTGGGGCACAGTGCATGCAATAACACCAACGACGGCCATGATACCGATACGCAAGCTGCAACGAATAACGAATTCAAGTACACGGCCGAATCGTTCAACTGTGATGTTGAGCATTTCTTCAACATCAAGTGCAAACGAGGTGAGCAAAAGGGGAGCAGCCAACATCACGTGAAGAGTCATAAGCACAATGGCAATGATTTGAGGAACGCCTTCTGGGATGCTGTTGTAGATAGGGCTTTGCACGGTATCACCATAAATGTAGTAGCCTGGGATTGCTGTCAAAAAGTACATGAGAGCACATGTAGCCAAACCAGCAGCTGCCACCTTTGGCCAATCTTGACGACGACGCATAGACTTTTCGACATGTGGATAAATGACGTTACCACCAAAGCTGAATGAAATGGTAGATAAGGCGATAGGGAATTGGTCCCAAATGACGTTGTCATGGTGAACAGGAGGTAAGCTCTTCTTGTCGATACATGCAACCACAAGAACAATCAAGACGGTAACCAAAGTTGCACCGGCACCAAATGCGCTCATCCATGCCATTTCCTTCATGCTCTTTACAAACACAAATGGGATGGCTACAACAGCACAAGAGATGATGGTCCATGGGATATCACCAATAGCACCAGCGGTATGCGCTGTCAAGTGTTGAAGATTGCTACCCGACAACACCATGTATAAAACGGGAGCACCGATAAGGATCCATGCATTGAAAAAGAAAACGATCCAGCCACCAATAGCACCAAACGAGGCTGTAGCTACATCTTTGTAGCTTGAGAGACGTCGGTTTCCTTTGGCGTACAAGCAACGAATAAGGATGACACCAGTGTACTATAATGAGATAATGATAAGATAAGCACACGTGCTTTAAACAGCCGTCTTTGATATCTTACAGTGGACATGAACCACGCCAAAAAGAGGATGAGAATACCAATCCAACCACCTTGACGAAGGGCAAATGGCAAACCAAGGGTACCGGTACCAGCAATCACACAAACAACGTTGTAGTATGCTGTTTTAGCAGACCCAGCATTGGATCGATCCACATCTTGAAAGTCGTTCTTGTAATCATAGTCAGCCTCTATTGTTCATAAAGAGAGAGAGGATACGTAAGTATTTAGCGATGAAGATGTTACGCGTGTACGTTAGGATGATGATGATGATGCGTACCACTGACGATGATTTCATTTGTTGCTGTGGATGCGGCATACCCGCCGTTGCCTTTCTTCTCGTCAAAGATGGACATTTACAAGGATGTATACGAGACAAAGGTCAATCAATGGAACAAAAGAATGGCAATGATGATGGTATTTATACTCAGGCTTCTTTTTCTTCCTTTTGGTGTCATACCCGGGTAGCCGTTTTTTCTCTTTTTCCATAAGTCAGGATATACCCAATGGCGGTTTGGCAACAACTTGCCAAAGATAGCAATGTCGTTGCTCGGTAATAAGTGTCATGTGCTCAATCTCGCGTTTTCCAAATTGATTGGATCGGAGCCAAACCTATCATACTCATTGTGTGCAAACACCAGGTTCAGGTTTTCGCACACTCCTTCTCACGATCCAAAAGGATACCCAATGTTTGACATGGGAATATGAGATGCATTGCCTATATCGGTGCTATACCAGGGCCTTTATTTGCATGTTTTCCCAAGCTCGAAAAAGTGAAAAATGACGGGTCCTTCCTTTCATTGCTCGTCTAGGAAGGTTCCACATGTGTGCGGAGTAGTGTATGGGGTGGGAGGGTACGTTCTTGGCCTTCATCCATTTGCTCCCGCTACGGATCGTTTCATTGGATGGGCTCATAACCATAAAGCACCGAACAAGTGAATCTCTTATTCAGAACGAATCACGGCACTTTTTGACTACAGCCATTGTTCCTCGAAGTGGGCCAATAATGCATTGCCTCAATGACGAAATGTTGTGTTATCTCTCTCTCTACCTTTTCCATTTTCTCGAGTGATGATGGCTCTACTAGAGATGATGGACCGTGCACTTTTGTTGATGGTGGCTATTATGAGAAAAGTTCACATGCTGGGCTGATCGCTCGAAAAAGGATGACATGATGTGTACATGTGCAATAGCCACGAACGCAAAATGACGCGTTTGACAATCTGCGGGAAAAACAGGATATACATCATCATCGTCTTATGTCTCGCATTACCTAATGTGACATCTTCGTGTGTCTTATCACGTTATCGTACGGGAGAAAAGCCCGACCGTGGTTTTATCTCCAAGCGTGGATTTCTCTTATCGGGATGGTCTCACCCAGTGCTATGAAACGGATCACCATGTAACCCCACATTTTACCCCAACTAACTTCAACATGCATGATCTCAAGGGGGCCATGTACCAATGTAGGTCAAGGACAACGCACCCATCCGATCTTAAAAAGCTGTTCCCACGTATTGCACCACCTCATTTCTTCCGCTTCGATCGATATGGGTGACGTGAGAATATCACTTGTGACATTAGGGTAATAAACTTTGATGAGTGCCAGATGGAATCAACAAATCGTTGGGTCTTCTTTACTACACCAGACGCAAGAACACGACCAATAAGGCAGTTTTTTCCCTAGACAACAACACGCTCTATACTACTACATCTCTCTCTCTCTCTCTCTCTCTCTCTCTCTCTCGATGAAAGATTGGCAATAATAACAGCTTACTTTATCATTTGCTTTCACTCCTAAAAAGTTTTATAACATCGCTGGTCTTTCATACTTCCCATGTTCCATCACGTATCTAATGCAAGTGACAAGTGTTTATTCTTCCATTACGCTACATTATCGATAACACTACGACGTATAGGAATATTGTCGCTTTCCTGACATGAGCCTAAAGAGATGCTGTTTTGATAGGTAATTCTTAGATCACGGTGGAAGATGACAGCGAGGATGGTGTGGATAATGATATTGTTGTTGCTCATGGCTGATAGGTTGCATTGTGGGGTCGTGTTGGTATACTTTGTCATCGAATGGACCCTGGTGGTGGTGCATAAGGATACCCTTCTATACGTTTGATGTTGTCCAAAGGTATCATCATGAGATGTCAGAGCCAAACAACGGATATTGAAGTTGCTTTTCATACGATCCAAAGCTGGGATCATGTCGTAGCATGCATGTAGTAGATATTGCACATCGCGTGGTGAGATGTACCAGGGGATGGATATAGTGCCAGAAGCAGTATGCAACGTACTAGTCGTAAACGAAGCTGCTGATAATTCAAAATGAACATGTCAATGATACCATCATCCTCTTGATCCTGGTTGTTGCTAGCCGTCGATGATCATCCTTCATAAACGTGGGTAGCTGAACAAAGAAACTGAAAAGGGGAACGGCATGCTGTAGTAGACACCCACCGTTCATTTTCGCATATAACGAGACGACATCTTGATGGTGGAGATGCTTTCCTCATGCCGACTTGGAATACTGCAACAATGACTGTGATCGCTAGTGTCTTTCTTCAGGCTGATTTCGTTTGCTGAATTGGTGTCGAAGGTACAAGAAGGAAAGGCGGGTCCAAAAAGAGCGCTCATGCAAGATGTTTCAGGCAACGCCGCTTCACGAATGCATTTACCAGTCTGATGACCATGCTAACACCATCCCGTATCCAAAACCCACTAATAAAGTTACCAATGCTTTATCTTGACCAATGAGCCAATTATGTCACGATCATTGTGTGGGGTATAACAAATCATTATTATAATAGAAAAGAGGGAATCTTTTTACTCAAAAGGAATATAAAAAGGTATGTATATAATAAAGTGGTGATATAGGGATGATGATACTATGTATGTCACAGGATGATGATGATGATGCTTATGATGCAGGAAGATTGGTCAATCGTAATGCACTAAGTGCACCAAGCATGAAGAGTGCTGTGCTTTCGTATACCCATTCGTCAGTCAATTCACCGCATAGCCATTGAAACGCGTAAATAGCTTCTAGCACATATAAATACAGCCAAGAACGTTCCACCTCAATGCCAGCGAAAATGATGAGAAGCGAAACAAAGCCAATGTTGATAACGGAGTGCACCGAACGTATGCTGAATATCTTTGATAATAGTCCTTTTTTAGCTTCTTTGTTGTTTTCGTCATCATCTTCAGCTGCCTTCTCCTTGAATACGGTTTGCGCGAGAATAACCCATGGAACACCAACGACACAGCTGATGATGCAAATGGCACGGCTAAAGGTGCTTAAAGGAAAAGCGAGGGTGGGATGAAAGAATGGCCATAGGATGATGGTAGTCACAGAGGCCGCAAAAGACAAAAGAAAGAAGCCCAACGTCTGAGCATAGCGATCGCGACGTTTCACCGGTTTGATGCACACCATCCAATCATCACGAGCTGTTCCTGAATGCATCATTGATACTTGCGACACCGACCAACGCATGGTGGTACCCATTCGCATATAACTTTCACGGTAAGACGATGTCCATAAGCGCGCACCATACATGCTAAGCATCGGGCCGATAAAAGTCAACAGCATGATAGCAACGGAAATAACGGTATCGAGGACAATGGCCAAACGAAAGATATGACTTGGTTCGATATCTTTTTCCACCACACGTACTTTGGAAGTGCTTTCAATGACCAATCTGCTTGAAAAACCATCGACATTCTGAGACGGCACCTCAGTGAGATCACGAATGACATCATGTCCAGTGGAGGCGTTGTATCCCATAAAAATGAGGGATTCGTCGTTGTATAAGCTGTCGGACATGGCTATGGCTCGTTTGATACCAAAATAGACAAGAAATGCACCTGAAAGATCGTCAATCGAGTAATTCACCCCCTCAACTTCAAATGTCTCGAGTCCCAAACGCCGAAGCATCTCAGGTATGCGTGAATGAATACGATCCATAGCCTCGTTCCATACGCTGACGGCCTCGTCTTTTGGCAAATGCGGATACTCCTCCATCAATTTTGTCACTCGTGTAATGATACGCCTGTCCCATGGAGTCACGTCCTTATTCTTGTTGTTGAAGACATCAACACACATCTGCTTAATGATGTCGTGACAAATTTCCTGAGCGGCTAGATACGGTTTGCCTCGGAGCCTTTCACGAAGTTGGTCGCTTAAAAACTCAATGGCGCGGATGTCGATCGTCATTTTCTCGATGCATGATGATTTATGGATAACCTTGTAATCACCATCGTCGCCATGATAGTCCTTGCATAGGCCATACAACATGTTGGGTTGAATTGATGCTGAATGATCTCCCGTTGGATCAGTCATTGAACCCGTCTCAGGCACTACCTTTGGCTCATCAGATTGGTGAATGCCGATACCACCGTTCATATCGATTGCTGCTGCTGCTGCCTCTTGCACTGGTGAACGCATCTCGCTTAAATCTTCATCTCCTGGCTGTGCCAAAGTCTCGGTACCATAGGCTGTCATAGTGCTTGATTGGTTTGATTGATTTTGTCGCTTTTGCATCTTCATCCGCTTCTCATACAAAGGATCACGAGCCATAAGACAACCATGATTCTCGCACTGCTGATGGGGACACTTCATTTTGTCGTCAAGCAACACATAGGAAAACTCCAAACGCCGTGAACGAAATGACTTGATGACCATGCGGGCCCAATGGGTGTCAAGACCATAAAAGACGTTCTCGCCAGACTCGCCATTCGTTATACGCTTTGTGTCCAAGGTCAACACCAAATCACAAAAAGGAAGTTCGCCAACGATACCACCTTGTGAACCACTGCGTAGAGCAGCCGAAGCACCCAGCATCAGAGCCACCGTCCAGTTCGAAACGCGATTAGCCTCCAATGTCGACTGCATTGAGAGAAATAGAAAGAGGGAAGAAGAGCTAGATGGGAAGTTTGTACACGCGAATGGCAGGTCAATAAAAAGGTTTTTTTCGATATTGTATTACTGTATACCTAAGCCAAAGTCGTACATGTGCACACACACACGCACACGCATGCGTAGCTTGTCCTCTCTCTATATATCAAACTAATATTGATCTGCAATGCATGCTGATGCAGGCGTCGGTGCCTGTAAGCTTCATCAGAACCCCCGTTTCAGCCATGTCAAAACTGTTTCATGTGACAAAAGATCCAGGTACATGAGCATGATGAAGTATGAATGATACGAATTCGTGTTTGCCATTTTTGATCCATGGTCCTCGATGGGTAACGAATGATGGGAAGGAATCCACTGAAGAATGCTTACACAGCTTGTCTTGATTAAGGATGATTGCCATGACTCCTATCATTGTGCAACATAGGACGGCAGTCAGCTCGGAATAGGATCCGTTACTACTACTATTACATATGAATCCAAAGGATCGTGGGTGGGGTTTGCAAGAAAGCAATGGTGTCGGTGCTGAAGGTTGCTAGGTTATTCGTTCCTTGACCAATAGCCCGATCACGACACATGATAGACAAAATGGCAATTGATGTGGGGGAGATGATGGGCGTTTTGAGCTTTGTACAACAAGAAACCCATTTGCACAGCCAAACAGTGTATATTACCTTTTTTTACCTGGGGTATGACAATGTGTTTCGATGATCATGATGAAGTGGGAGCTACTAGTAGTAAAGCACACTGCGAAATGTAGGGTGAGCTAAAGCCACTTGCATTCCTCTGACATCGTGGGAACCGCTATTGGCAGCCGTGTTGAGGAGGGGAGAGAAGGTCTTGGGTATATAATTATACAATGACAAAAAAAAATCCCTTGCTGATAAATCGATCAGGAGATGTCTACTGCAGATGGGAGACGAATTTGCATGGAAGATAAAATCCATCATCTTTTACTACTACATTCATTCATCCATTCATTCATGCCCAACAAAAGAAATGATACCACCACCAACACAGCTAAGGGCCTAGGCTATATATACTACTGGAATCATGGTGCATTATAGAACAAAAGTTTGTGTACCATGACCACCAACCAAAAGAGAGGGTTTCCCACCAAGCTTTGTCCACGTGGGTTGGTCTGGTTGAAGGACGGACCAAGTACTTTTGACCTCATCATCCTAACTTTTTCCTACATTGATGAGAAATCCCTGCTTACAACTCCTCCTCCCTTTTCTCCTCTCTTTGTACATTTTCTTCATCTTTTTTTGCAACCTCTCTCCACGACTCCTGCTCGTTACGTTTTTCCCTTCCCTTCCTTTCTTACATTTACGCATACAACCCATTATTATTCGAGCACTCGCTCTTGCAACTTGCTCCTTTGCTTCCTTTCCTTTCGTTTCACACCACCACTATGCCTCCAACTACTGCACTCAAAAAGGATACCATGCGTAAATCATGCTCAGATTCAGCTTCTGCCAATAAACCGGCTCCTGTAGTCGCTCCATTGAAGCGACGTTCACTTGGTTCGGTTAAACCACCACCAACATCATCACCTAATACAACATCACCACCTTCACAAATGAAAAAGAACGACAAGGTTGGTTGGTTGGGTATTTCTTTTATGCACATGATCATCGAGAATACTCAGCCAGCTTTTATGTATCCTTCAGGGAGCTGCTGTATGGCGTGCACCAGGTCATTGTGAAATTCCAGACATCCTTGGAAAAGCCTACCTGCTTCAACCACTCACCCAACAAGATCCACCCAAGGAAGCTAAAAAGAAACCAGAGCCAGCTCCACCCACAAGAGTATGTGCTGTTGTTTGTAAAATGATGTGTATATCTATCTCCTAATATGATCCATTACAGCCTCCTTGGATTAATGCCCGCTGTCATGCCGACTGGTCTCCACCACCACCAGCACCTATTGTCAAGCATGAAGAATCGACTTTTTCAAAACGCCTCAAGAAAGCGATTCCCAAGATTGTATTGATCGATCTCCCCAAGCATCGTTATGTTGGATCCAAAGAGATTGGTACAGGGTAATAATAAGGAGGAGGTCTTGCTAACAGGGTCAATAAGAGGAGGAGGAGGAACAAGGAGAACCATTGGTTCATGATTCGGAGGCAAAAAAAAGTGGTACTCAACATGCACCATAGGGTGAATGGCTCTGTTGTCCAAGTGGGTGTTCGTGGTTCAGGTGGTGTACGACTTGCATTAAAGCGCTGCAAGCTTGACAATGATCGGGAATACCGTGCCGCCATTGTACGTGAACTTAAAATCATGGCGAGTGGTCACACAAACCTTATCAAATTACGTGAAGCGTCCGTTCACAAGAATGAGGTTTGGATTGCCATGGATTTGATGAAATGTAGCGTGTTTGCAGTCTTGTGTTGCCGTGCATTGCCTGAAGAATATGCGATCTACATCATAAGACAGGTATGTAAAAAAGTTGGGGGTATGGGAGTTTTGTCGTATCTCACATCTTTTGTCTAGACCCTAAACGCATTGTTATTCCTACACGCCAAAGGCTTTATTCATCGCGACATCAAATGTGAAAATCTTTTGATTGGCAATAACGGCGAAATTAAGCTTGGTATGTATGCGCAATAGCATGTTAAGTATGCGAGTAGAGCTAAATCCATATACGCTATTTTTAGCTGATTTTGGTCTTGCAACAAGCACCCGCCATATGAACCGGGAAAGATTGGGAACTGCCAAGGTAATGATTTATGATCATATGACGAGCGCATGGATCATCATTATACTCACCACCACCACGTGCTTATTGTTTATCAGTGGATGGCTCCTGAAGTGATTCGAGAACAGGCTTACAGTGAAAAAGTGGATTTGTGGTCGTTGGGTATTACATTGATTGAAATGATGGATCGCGTCCCTCCACATTATGCAACCAAAGATGACGAAGAAGTCTTTGACAAGATTCTCCAAGAGCCAAGCCCAACGTTTACATATAGCTATCCTACCATCTATTGCACAGGGCTTGTAGCCTGGTTACTTGAAGAGAGTCCAGAAAATCGTCCCACAGCCAAAGATGTCATTGCTGTAAGTAGACATGCATGCACATACATGCCAGGCTGCTAACACAAAAACAAAACACAATGCAGGAACTCGATTTGCATATTGAGCAGAATTTGCTAAAGTCATCGGATGCACAAGGACTGGCTTCCTTTGTGCACAAGATGATGGCTTAACGGTGTCTATCGCTGTACAAGAGAATTTTAGGGTGCCTTTAAAAAGGGAGGCCCCAGAGACATCCCACTACTACGATGATGGAGTTTACGATATCCAAAGTCTAAAACGATACATATTGGAAGCCAATGGAACAGTTTTTTATATTCATCTTTAATCCTCAAAGCATTTACATATTCCCTTCCCTCCTAATTATATCCCTCAATCGCGTTTTCCAAGATAATATATCGTCTTTTTCTTCAGTAGTATCTTCCAAAGGTTGTAAAATGGGGGGTAAATAAGACGTGGTGGTGATGGTGATGGATGGAGACTATGCTTATAGCCGTCGAAGTTGTTTCTTCCTATCAGCGACAGCCATGGGTTTCCTCTTGGTTTGAGCCGTCTCTGTTCTCGCTTGCTTGTTGTTGAGGATGGTGTTGTCTTTTCCTCCCTGAAGCTCTGCTGCTGTACGTTTGACACCGGCGGTTTGTGTGGCGATGTTACTTGCTGCTGATGTTAATACGTTTCCAGCACCAGCGCTTGATTTAGTCGTTGTAATAGTAGTAGTAGCAGTGGTTGTATGGGTTGAAGTTGTAGTAGTGGAAGCTGATGTCGAATCCTCTTTCTTAGTTGCAGGAGCTGTTGTTGTTGAGGTGGTGTTGATTGAGGTGGTTGTATCTTTGGATGTGTTCTCGTTTTGCTTATCAACGGGTGTTCGTTCTGCTGCAAGTGCATTGAATTCTTGTCTTCCGCTCTTTGCATGAATAGTCGTATATAATCTAGCACGTTTGGCGTAATCGTCGTATTGTTCTAGCAAGAGCTTGCCCGCTTCCTCATTCAATGCTGATTCCGGATTAGGAACGATCAATAAACATTTCACCGTCTATAGTCATGAAATCATCAATCAACACCAAATCCATCATTCATCATCCCCCCCACTCTCACTTACCAGCAAAACATGAGCGATCCCTAACGTAGATTTCCAATCCTTTTTCAATGTATTGACACAAATCTCGCCGTTAGGAGCCACGTTGGGATGAAAGATCTTGGTAACAAAGTAACCTATCACCTCCTCCATTAGCCTCTTTGTCTATCCACGCAATGACCACACATTCCTCCATTTACCTTTGGGTGGTACTTCAGGATACCCATCAGCAAGTAGTAAACGGACCTTAAAGTAACCATTCTCATAAGGTGTGCCGTCTGTGCGTCCATCGATATACACGCGATCAGTATACGTGCGTCAAATACATGCAATACGCTCCAGCTGCAACAAAACAGCCCCCATTCAATATTACCTGGACCACGAATCCATGCCTGGATCTCTGTCAGATCTTGTTCTCCTTGAATGACTTGAACGTCTTCTGGTGGCGATCGCTCGAGAGATTGTAGCTCCTTTGCAATGCTTTTTAATGCTTGAGGTGCCAGTGTGCCCTTGAAATAAAGGAAGACATGTTCTTATTAGAAGGCTGTTGCTGGGTTGTAATGACAATGGGAAGCTGTATGCATGCGTCCCCAATGGAGGTGATCAATGTACCATAATTGCTTGCAGAACGTGTGTGTGTTGAAGTGAGAGAGTGTTTCAAAAAGAGAACGGGATCTTGCCAGCGGTCTGTGCCCAGATTTATCGGCCATTCACGCCAAGGATAGTAGTCAACATCCAAGCACATTACATTCTTGCCCTCCCCAAATAGGAATTGCGTCACAACAACACCTTCGTCGGTTTTATGATAGTTGACATAATAAACAAGTATCCACTACACTACTACAACTTGCAAAGAAGCGGAGGAGCAAAGACTTGCATAAATGAACAATTGAATATGGTATAATAAAGAGCAGTTTGGTATCTATTAATCGTCACGCTGCATCCATACATTCGTATTGAAAGCATGCGAGAGAATTGATCTAGGTGGGAATTAGGTTGCAGGTGGCCTTTGCACACAGGTCCCTAACCCCACACTTGCATTCTTGTTACACCAACAAGGCAACACAAACAAAAACCCATCCTCTTCCGAAAATGGGTATTACACGAAGATGAATAACTTTCTTTCATGCATTTTTGTGGGTGTACGATTTATGTATAGGTGAATGCTCTATATACTTGAAATGACACCATCAAATCCACCGAGCATCCTCCCACTTTCCCCGCGTGTTCCGAGACTTTGGAAAAGTCAATGATACAAACATTGACCAAAGTACCGAGCATTGGATGAATTCTGTACATTATCCCTTTCTCTTCATTCTACTTTTTATGCTATGTATATAATACTTTTTAATTTACTTATCGTGGCAGCTTCTACTACTACGTGTTTTGCATTACCCAAGAAAAGAGCATTCGATGGTTGCTTGGAAGCATCTTTTGCACCTACACCCGATACGTGTGCCAAATTCGAATTTCAGGTTAGCATAAAGAAACCATTGTACATAGCTGTCACTGCCTTCTCACAAGTTTTTTTATACTTATGAAGGATCAACCACGTGGAATATGCGTAGAACTTGGACGTGGTAGTACGGCGTTTGCTGATATCGACGGCTTCCCAGATGTTGGATCAGTCGACTCCAAGGTTACACATGTAGCCAGCATGGTTACCAATGTGTTTGAATATGGCACCAAAGCGTTTAGTTATGCGTATGTAGTAGTATTCATTTACCTATCGTATCGATGCATGCTCATACGTACGATACCAATAATAGTGAATGTGCCAATATCGGTGACATGCGTGGGTTCACGTGCGGCTATATTGGATTCACGGTAGGGAACAAGGTTACATGGTCTTTTGAGGGTGGCTATTCTAATCCATAGTAACAGACAGGAACCAACGACGCATCCCAAGTGGTAAAAACATACACCGAGGAGAAGCCTGGAAATGAGCTCGCTGGATTTTTAAGTCGTCTAAATGACTTGGATGCGTTAGACACGTGTGATTTAGGGGAAAGAGCCAGTACCAGTGGATTGGAACAATTTTGTGATGCATGGCGACGCGAAGCATGTTTGGATAACCACTTTGCCAAAGTGCAAGCCGATTGGGCCTATGAGCACTACGTGGTACCAAGTGCAAGAATTGCTGCATCCGTTGGCGTACATAGCCCACTTGGTCAACTTGTTTTTTATGGTGAGCATGAAAATAGCTGCATGTAGAGCAAATCGTGGTGGTAGTACTGATGACATGCATGTAGATGCCATTATTCAACATGGATACCAGTTTACCGAGCCCCATATCAACGTCCTACGTTTGCTAGAATTAACCGGACCTCGTCAACAAGATGAAAGCGAGCAACAATATTTGACACGTTTCTTGACAACACGTCGACAAATGCAATGTTGTTATCCGTAAGTGTATAAAACATGATGATGTGTTGTACGACAAGTCATATTCACGTGATGATATTTGTCATGGTCTATATTAGTGATGGTGTTTGGCCTGCCAGTGCCACGCGTACCATTGATTTACAAAGCCTTGTGGATCAATTTGATGCTCTCCAAAATCTAGATAGACCTCTTGTACTTAATCGCTTTGGTCAAACAGTGGATCCAAATGAACCTGCTGTTCCAAACAGTAACTCATGCAGCGGTGTTGTCGCATGAAAATCAATAAAATTAAACCTCTAGTACACCCAGCATCTGGGGTCTCTTTTTTTTTATTTCCTGCTTGCTTATAGATATCACATCTTCTTCCTCCTCCTCCCTTTCAACCACTATTACAACTCTCGACCTATGCCAGAAAGTGGCTCTTCAGCACCAATGTCGACTTGGAACAACATTATGAGACAACTACGGCCGCATCAAAAGTTTGCAGCAGCATTCTACCTTTCCACTGTCATAATCTCGCTAATCTATGCAGTGACATGCCATCCTCCAGTCAACTACTTTAGCAACAAACGCAATCTGATCAATGTCTATTTTGTCAAACTCGGGTGGTTATGGACGACTATCATCTATTTCATATATCTCTTCAACGTACTCGGCCGAAAACAGTCTTTTGAACGTGGATTGGTTCGCTATGTGTGCATGTCGCTCTATTGGTATCTAATGACACAATGGCTATTGGGACCCAGCTTTATCGATCGTGTATTCGTGGCTACGGGTGGTACTTGTCGAGATCCTTCAGCCATGTTGATCCAGGATGTCTATCAGCAAACCACGTGTCGTAGAGCGGGCGGGACTTGGAGCGGCGGTCACGATGTTTCTGGACATTGCGTCTTGTTAATTCATTCCAGCTTGTTCTTGTGGGAAGAGATCTCTTGGATATGGTATTCGATCCCTGCAGTGCAACGACTCAAGCAGCAAAATGGCACTCCATGGTTGGCTTTCAAGTTGGTATGCGGTCTTTTGGCGCTCTGGTGGTGGATGCTAGTTATAACGAGCGTCTATTTCCATGGCCATTACGAGCTTTTCACTGGATGCATCTTTGGTATAGCTGGATGGGCTGCTTTGGTAAGGTGACTTTTATTGGGATATGGCAAGTTTCTAACGGTATCATAGTATCTAGGCATCTTCCCTCGTATTCCCTCGATTGGTCTTCCCCCCATTCAATTCCAAGTATAGACATCAACAACATCGTATTAGACTCCTTTCCACAAATACATTCTATAATACCATCCAACTTCTCATCATAATGTGTGTGTGTGCGCGAGTCTATTGTATTCGAATAGATGTCTACTCATCATCTCCTTTCGTCAAATTGCTCATGTTGGTAGCTTCAATGGGGGAGCTGTCATGACAAAAAGAATAAGCAACATGGTTCACTTTTTGCTTTCATCCAACAATCCCTTACCCAATAAAGATGAGCTGCTGAACTTGAGTAGTTTCCTCGTCTTCTTGATTGTCGACGACAAACAACTATAGATTGCAGGCAAAGATGAGTTTCACTTCCATAGCAACTTGATCCTCTCCCAATACATACCACAAGGCTAGTGATGTTTTGGAACTTGACAAATCGTAGATTGACCACTGCATCATCTTCAAAATCCTTAGGTTCTAACTCCAACGTTTGTGTCTCCTTGATAGAGTCTGCATCATCAAAGCCCAACGTTTGTCGGTTTGCATAGATCTTGACCGTCTTGGGTGCCTGAGCTATAATAAAAAAGGACACGATCAATATCACCCTCCCCCATGGATTCCATTTTTCTCCCTTACCAACATTCTTTGCCTTGAACTTGATAGAGTGGATCTTGACAGCTATCGCATTGGCATGGTAAGTATATCATTTTTATACGTATACGGATTTCGTTCACTTACGCTGGTTGAATGGTACGCTGATAATAAGCTGCTCATCTACGTCACTCTCCAAGTATGTATCATCGGATTTGAAGACGTTCTTGATGTTGTGTTCTTCTTGCTGATTCAATGCATCGATTTGGTTTCCAGTAATAACATCAGTGAGGTCACCCTAACATACATGCGTGTAAGTTGACAAGCCATCCTTCCCATCCTCGTAAGAAAAAAGAACCACTTACATGTCCAGGAATGCCATAATTGTTCTTTCCACTACCACTGCTGCTTCCTCCAGCACTGTTACCATCTCCTTGATGCTTCTTCACCAATTGTTCAATTTGTCCAGCGCTAGCACCCTTGAGCTCTGCCACCTTTTGGCCTGATTTGAAAAATTGGAAAGTGGGCCTGGGATAATACACAATCAGTCTCTTGTAAAAACCATGTCCATTCCCATCCTACCATTACTTACATGGATGTGACACCACATGCACCAGAAACTTCCTGGATTGCCCTTATTAGATACATCCTCTATACACGATTGAAAGAAAAGAACTCAAATAGATACCCTTAAACGATCCACATCCACCTGGTTATATGAATGTTAGCCTCCAACTTTACATGACGACACCTTCCAAACTTGCCTTTGCAAACTGAACATTCTTATACTTGCTGGCGAGTTGTGCAAAAAAGGGAGCTACCATACGACAAGGGCCGCTAGTAAGGGACACGATTACGTTAGCTTTGCCCAATCTATCATGGCGACCAGGGAAAAGAAAAGCACGTACCACCAGGTAGCGTAAAAGTCAACGACGACCAGCTTCTCGTTGGATGTTTGACCAATCAATTGTTGGAATTCGTCAGCACTTTGAATCTCCTTGATGCTCATTGTTGCGTAAGTGAGTAGTAGTAGTAGTAGGCGGGAATGGAAGAGACGACACGCGAGGATACTTATCCGCTGCGGCGTGCTTTGAATTTCGAGAAACGACCAGACGCGTGCAATGCATAACCCGATTTTGACAGATGATGATACGAAGACATGAATTAAAAGTGTTAGTTACCATCTCCTAGGTGTTACGGAAATGGCAAAAGTAAATGGGCATTTATGGTATTACGATTCTTGAATGAAATAGGCGTGGAAGGGGGGAAAAGTTGTAACTATGTACTTGATGGTGATATACTACAAGGTTGTTGTGGTGGAGCAAATGGTAGAAATGATAGGGTGGTTGGTGTACAATATAATAGGGAGGTGCATGCGTGCGTGCGTGTGTGCTTTGTGGTTGTAACGTTGAATCGAAAAAGTCATCTTGGAATGCAGCTTTATGTTTGATCAGATTCCTACCCATCATCGATGATCGAATAAATATTCATGTTGCATTGTAAATGGCAAAAGAGCTGTACTTACTTCTGGCACAAAATGAGATGACGTATGATCATCGTCAGGGATAGCACGAGTGAGCATGTCGAGACCTTTTTCGGTTGTTGTAGAAGAGGATGATGTGTCTAATTCTTTTTCGATATACGTTGCCAATTGAGATTGGAAGCTGGTTAGTCCTTCAAGCCACTATCATGTGAATGAACGAGTGAGTTCGATTGATATCCTGCCAATGTCATGCATGAACAACTCACATCTTTCATTTCTTCTTTTGTTGGTGATGGAGGACGAGCAGAGGATGATGTCTCTTTCCGCTTGGATCTAGATCGCATGCTAAAACGGGGGTGAATCACCAAGGTTGCTTTGGCGAAAATGGAGACGTTGACCTACTTTGCAATATGGCTGAAAAAATCGAGCTTGATACTAGATGCTGGTAACCGATAAACAACATCGCTGTATTTGATGATGGAGTCCTTTTCATGCTGAGCGTCGGGTAATGAAGAAGATGCTTCCGTGCTCTTTGTTGAACTTTTGTCATCATCGATAATCGTCACTACGCCATTGTTGGGTGTGTCTGATGAGGCGTCGACGTATTTCGGAATGCGTGGTTGCCGTATCCTTGGCTACAAGGCCGCATGAGTATATACATAAAAGTCTCGCATCGATGAGATATACAATACCACAAGGTGATCTGCATGGTTGGGGCACATCCATTTGCGAGTTGGGTTTGGTAAAGATGTCATGGGAGGATCCAAGCAATCCATGTGCCAATGAAGCGGACAATAGTCGCAAGATACTATTCGTTTGTTGCGCGAGGCCGTTTTTCGACACCGAAAACAGCAAATGAAATTGTCGTCCTTGTCTCTAAGTTTGCGGTCATCGTTGGGATCGGTTCTATGTCAATGCAAATAAGAAACAACTCGCTTTGGATAAATAAAAGTATACGTACCTGGTGGATTTTGATGATTTGATAATAGATGTATCGACGTATTGGCCATTCTTATCCATGGTCACTAATAACAACATTGTTAAGAACAACGTATATGCAATCATCATAGAGCAAAATTTACCTCCATCAAAGTATCTCACAATCTCCATGGGTGGCTCAAACATCTTTGGAATCCGGGTCGTCAAGTCATGGTTCAGCTTTGCGAATAACGCAGGAATAGATGATTGCTGGGATTTGGACGATGATTTTGCTGCTGAGCTAGTGTTTTTCCGCTGGTCAAAGAATACCTCATTGTTAACAATCCACGTGGTGTGCAACCTTGTTTGCATCGAATACTTACTTGCTTACGCTTGTATTCGCATTCGGTACAATACCAATTCCCTGATAAGTTTTCAACCTCACCAACATCCATGGGTGGGTTTATGCAGGTGAAATGAAAGGCATTGGGGCACGCATCACAGCATATAAAGCGTCCACAGAATCCACAAGCTGAGCAGATATCACTATTCTGGAATAAAATTAGTTCAATCGATATTGTGGATAGTGAGATACTACCTTCAATGGTGGTTCACTATCGGATTCCTGGTGCTGCCTCTTTGGAGATGAACGCGGAGAGAGGTCGCTAAGTAAACCCACCATTAGTGTCCGCTCAATAGAGATGAAACCAACGCGCTCACACACACACACACACACACACACACACACACACACACACACACACACACATACGTTGTATCCTGTTTACGCTTCGAAGAACCATCCGTTGGTTTTGGCGATGCTGAGTGTCTTGGCCGTAATGTGCGCTTCATGCTAACAAGGATAAAAAAATAGCATTCGTAAAAATCCAAAGTACAAAAAGGATAATAGCTACTACTACTACTTACTGTGAAATAGCAATAATCGAATTGAAGCCTCTCTCGTTTGATTTGAAAAGGTCGCTTGCTTTCAATACTTTTTCTTGGCTCGTCTATTTTGTAAAGAGATGAAATATTAGTATGCATCCCTTGTAATTATCCCCTTCTATCTTCCATCCATATCCCCTCCAAAGTAGCATAGACCCATTATCCAAAAGGCAACAAACGATGACAACGCCGCCTCGCCAAGCCTTTGCAAAGACATAGCAACAGGTGTTGAAGCCCATTTCCAACATGGGTCACAATGGCACCCCTTTCCGTAATTGAGTGATCAGCCCGCTCGCCATGGTTGACGTCCCTCCAGATCGTCCTTTGTTGCCTTTACCGATCGTATCCACCACCCTTCTTTACGCAACTCCAAATAATAGACAACTCACCCCAGCTTGCTAGCGTCGAGAACAATAGCCGTGTGGACGGAACGTGCTTTAAAGAAAGAAAGAGAGAGAGAGAGGAAGGGAAGAAAGGCGAATGGACTTTGAAATCTGTTATAATTGGCTGGTTCCCTCCTCGTCTTTGGAATCATGGGCTTTGCATCCCATTCATTTAAAGCCCCATTGTTCAATGAAAAAGGCACATGTCCTTTGATAGATGTCATTGTTGATGTCCTGCAACCCATATTGAATGATCCTTCATTGCTATTAACTCAACATCTTATCCAATGAGGCAACATACAAGTGATGGAGATGAATGTATATTTTAGGATGATCATTGTATATGTGCGTGTACGAGGGTGGTGGTGGTTTTTGAATAGTAAGAGGGTTGATGTGAAGGGGAGAGAGAGGTGTATGAAAGATTGTTACAAGAATTAAAATGTGTGTGTGCGTGTTTATGATCTATACAAGGTGCTGTTGTTGTAATAACTTATAGCGATGTCAATCCAATCTCGGCACCGGCAACTTGTAGACAATCACGAATCAATGCTACCACTGTGGAGTCGTCGCAGGTAATCATTTGACACAATGTTGGGTACAAATAGAACAAGTGACCACGAGGGCCTGACAAAAGCAGCTGTTTTGCTGAACCTAACCAATCGTTGAGTATATAACTCCTACATCATTTAGCGACTCCCTTACCTTGCTCATCCTTATATCCCAAAATATCGAGTTGCAGCTTCAATTCAATCGATTGTCGTAAGAAAAACAGCATCTCTTCCTTGCGAACCCTATAATAAAGTAGCCATGTTAGTGGGAAAATGAGGTTGATAGGAAACCATTGTCGGCAAGTGTAGAGCTCCTCACCCCATCAAGTACCTTGGGAACGGACAGCGACCCAGCAGTGGCTCATCGGCTGTGTAATTGCGTAGGATGGTCTCACACCGTTCCAATAACACTGGTATAGTAGCACGCCCAATTCGCTGCCTGACCTTGATATAATCTATAAAGAATCATCCATCATCAGCTGTGATGTTTCCCTAGGACCAAAAGCGCGCAACCTAACAAGTACCTTGTTTATCGGATGAACAAAGAGCAAAGAGCGTCTTGAGTGCTGCATAAGCAAATGATTCTTTCATGACAGGTACAATGGTGCCGGTGGTACCAACAATATCACTTGAGCGATCGCTGGCGTTCTTGGTACCATTTTCTTCTTCAATTGCCAGTTCTTTTGTTGCAAGTTCACCCTCCGTTTCTTGACGATGTGAATGACTCTCATCAACGTAGTATAGCCTTGAACTCTCTCGTAAAATGTCGACAAGTCGTTCAATGATATCATCAGGTACACGAGGTTCTCCGATAAAGATCACAATATCGCTTTGTATCACGCTCAAAAGTGAAATATCGAAATGCTCGTCGACGTCTAATTCTTCGATCGTCATGGTTGAAGGAGGAGTGCTATCATCATCATTATGCAAAATGTTAGTCGTATTTCAAACTGCAGTGTCGAAGACGACCATCATTTACCTTGGTGATAAAAGACTTCCATGCAAAACGTCAACAAGTGTCCGCCATACGCCCACAAATCGCTCCAATGGAACCTCTACAACAACAATAGCACGCGCACAAATGAGTACCACATAGCATACACACGATCCTCTTGCTATTTTTCATTTACCTTCATCAAAGGCATGTAGCTTTTCAAGACCCATACGCATGATATCAAGTAACCCCGTTGTTGCCAGCTTCCACAATGTAGTCTTGTCTTCGCCATGCTTGTAAGAAGGTGGGCAATCATATTTGAGTTTCATCGGTAAACCAAACGCGCCAATAATACGTTCAAAAACACCTTCCGAATACAACGAGAGATTGTCAACATGATCTTTGAATAAATCGATAGCCATTTTGCTGGATTTCTTGTTGAGTGCGATATACGTAACACTTGTATAGCGTCGTTGGCTAGGAGGCGTATTGGACTTTTCTTGCTGTGGGCCCAAAAATGCGAGGGTCATGTATTCTGATAAATCACGTAGCACCAAGGGTGGTATGCCAGGTACGCTCTTGTCGAGATTCTGAATCACGTTCAATACAGCGTCTTGGAGCGGTGATAAATGATCGATATCGGGTCGATATTGTGGGCTCGTCGAATACACCAAGAGATTCTTTAGCACGATCAAGAGGTTCTCAACGTCGCGTAGCTCAAAGCGAGAGGAAATGACATTATACAAATCGGTAAACATGGAAACAAAAGAGGTGAGCATGTCTTGAGAAAAGTCATCCGAGATAGCAGGTGCACTTGAGGAAGAGAGCGACAAGGTGAGCGAATGCAAATCAGAATCAAGCTGCTTGAGGCGTTCTTCTACTCGCGACTTTTCCTTTTCCCCTTGATCAATGATGCTTTCACCAATAGCTAGCCATGATAACCAAGCCTTTTCCCATAGCTCAATCACCGTTTCTTGTGATCCACAATCGGGTTGTTGTCCAACGATGTTTCGGAAGCTCTTGACACTGGCGAGTGAAACTTCTTGGCTGGAACGTAGGCACGAGTCTTCCAAGTGAGCAAGTAAGAGAGACCAAGCACGATCAAATCGAGGTAATGTATAAAGCTTCCTAAGGAAATCACGGAATATCCCCGAAATGCCATTCAATACCAACACCTTCGTTTCATCCCATTGCTTATCAGCCGTATCTCGAGAATGATGTAACAAGAAGCCGGATGCATCTCGATCGGCAGAAGGTGAGAGTGAAGGGGATCGAGCGGATTGCGCTTGCATCATCTTGATAGCACGAATAGAGGACATCTTGGTAGTATCCAGTAATGGAAATAAAACCTCCCAAATACAAGCACTCCATAAATTGGCACTGAGAACATTGCCGTTCAACATGATCGTGCGGAAAAGCGTCTGGTTGGCACCATGGCGTACTTCAGGGCGTGGATCGGTGCAAATGTGTGATAGTTGCAAAAGTAAAAGCATCCACAAAATACTTAGTACGGCCGGCGTTTCCTCTCCATCGAGCGTTTGATCAATGCTGAGTGATTCTTTGGTGATGATTTGGTTGCTAGGCTCCTCCTCCTGTTGTCCTGATTTGACTAGGTCCAACCGCTTGGTCTGGATGAAGTCTGATAAATTCCAAAGCAATCCAACAGCTGTCAAACTTATGTTGATATCTTCGTTTTGCATCCCAAAAGCGCCCAATGTAGCAATACATTGCCGTAAGCAATCAGGTGACAAGAGGGCGAGAAAATCGGTACAAATCAATTGGAGACTGGCAAAGGCAACCTTAATCAAACCACCTGCCGCTTTGGTGACACTCGTATTGTTGTTTGTACGTAAAGAAGATGTTGTTGTATCAATGCTGGATCGTCCTTCCGCTTTACTCTCTTCCTCGATATGCGATTCGGTATCCTCATCATTGTTTTCCTGATTCGTTGCCGTGCTGGACGCCACCGTGGTTACATGCTTGACCATCTCAAATATAAGGCTCCAGCCGCATGTAAATGACTGGCCCGAGGTTTGCAAAAGCTTGTTGAGCGTTTCCAATCCCATACGTTGCACCTCTGGAAATGCTTTTTGAGTGCTGTAGCTCTTTTCTGAATCGTTATCTTTAGGTGGGGTATAGTTGATGCATTGATTCAACGCCTTTAGGAGTCGTGTTTGAAGATTCTCATCAGGCTCCTTTTCTTCTGATAGGCTGCATTCCATAGCAGTGGTGATGATATCCGCAATCGATTCGCAACATTGTGTACGGATGCTATCCGGTGTACCAGCAAAGTTGGCTGTGGCGATCAAATGTGTTGTTATCAAATCCCACGCTCCACAATCCTTGTCAGCGCTGATTAAACGATCCATGTCAAGAATAGCAATATATCGCAACTTCTCCACTGCAAAGGATGTCTTGTTGAATATTTTCTAATATCCCTAGGTTAGTAATCATACTTATCATTGTCAAATCCATTTGACTTACTGCTCGTGCTGATTTATTGGTGGATGATGTTTCTTCTTCTCCAATAGGTAAACCACTTGCTTCAGCGCTTAATCGACATAGGGCAGTAGCGAAGGCGATGAAAGCAACATCATCAAGGAACTTTGCATTCTCAAATAATCGTGTCAATGAGCCATGAATAATCCCAACATGGTCAGCGTCCATAAGTTGATTTGTTGCACCTGAGCCTATATCAAGAGAGAGAGATAATAAGCTATCTAATTCGGCACAACATAAAGAATGATAACTTGCTTACCAGAACTTTGTTGGCTTGTTAATGTGTTGATTGAAGTGGATGATTGTGCTGTGCCCGACAATGTTCGACGTATGGGTGGGACGCCTATTGTTGAAGCTGATCCACTTCCAGAGCCTTTTGGACTTGGCCGATTGAAGAGTAAAAAGTCGGCTTGTTGCAAAGTCTCTAGCACCAAGTACCACGATGGTCCAAGCACTCCCCCAAGGAACATGGTGATGTTCAAAAGCACACGTAGGCTGTACAAGTTCTTATCGCTCAAGACAATGTTGCTCAATACTTGTTGTTGTTGTGCTGGTAAATCTGAATAAGATACGGCGACTGTGGATGTCGATACTGTTGCAATGCTGGTAGTGCTACCCGTATTTTTGTTGGAAAGTAGACCTGATGAAAGGACTGGATTGGCTGGAATGGCATTCTTACAAAGGTTGGTGAGGAATGCATCACGTGGAACAACAAGACCAAGAACACCGCACACATTGGTAAAGTTCTGGTAAGATCGCATCGTGCTTTGAAATAGCTCCTCATCCAAATTTGCTGACAAGTAGAACGACATTGCTGCTAAGAGACCAGGCCAAGCAACATTCGACATCTCCGTAACCACCTCCAAATCCTTTTTGCCGGTCGTTGACTCGTTGGACTCTGATGTTGATGATTGTTGTTGTTGTTGTTGTTGTTCTGTATTGGGTGATTCGTTTGTAGTCGATCGAGTGGATGTACTTAATGTACGTGTGCTGCCGGCTGCAAATCGTGGTAGTACTAAACCAGCTAATCCATCCGCAATGGCATTCAGGCATACAACAGCAAGATAAAATATATATGTCTCGGGTATGGCAGGTGGCTCAGCCTTATCCAATTGGTCGATACTTTATAAACCATGTGAGTCTTTGTATTCGATAAATATCACAAACCCGCTCATGACACTCACCATTGTATCCGCATGGTTGACCCCGCTGTACTCAAATTAGGACTTGTTTGTTCACCACCTGAAAAGGAAGCCGTTCCTGCATGATGCGCTGTATAGTTGCCTGATCCTGATCCATGATCCATGCTATCCCTTCCACCTTGTGTTGCTCCAATCAATTGTGGTTTCTCGGTGGCAAGTCGACCAAATCCAGTAATCATATCACGAAATACATCGGTGGAGCTATCTTGGCAATCATACCATTGGTATAACGATCGAAGGAGTGATGGATCACCGCATACACCACGAAAGATTTCCATTGCAAGAACACGTTGCCAAAGAGGACTTTCAGGTTCCAATATCTTGACAAACATGGATAGGAATATCTCACATTCCATAATCTATCCCATTCCGGTCAATGAAATCCATCCATACATCCCATTCATGATGTCCCTTTTCTTACCAAAATTTCACTGAATTGCTTGATGAGAATATATACAACACGAGTGAGTCGCATGGTTTGTGGAAACTCGTGCTTTTCGGAAAAGTTCTTGATAATCAATGGGCAAACACGTTCTCGTAACAATGAACTGAGCTCCTTGTGCTTGAAACAATGGCATGAGCATGCTTCATCCTATTCCATCCCCACTCACCCTTAACAACTTACTGTTCGAAAAAGCATATAATGATTGGTCAATACACTTTCAATCAGCTCCAATCCAAAGGTCTTTGATAATTGTGTCAATCGTAAGAATTCGGGCGACTCGCTGTTGGTCAATAAGCATAGATCTTGAAAGAGATAGTAGGCATCTTTGGCGCATGGACGTAAAGTGATGGTGTCACCCGAGCTCAACTGGATGTCTAATAGACCATAATCAACCTCCTTGTAACCTTCTCCAAAGTCCTTTCTTCTTACCATGTGTAACTTCATCCTCTTCGGGTTCCTGCTCATCTTCTTTGGCGACTTTGTCAAAGACGAAAATGACAAGTTGACGTAGTGTTGCAGCAGCCGTATTATTGACAACAACGATCTTGGAATCTTGTAACCGAAAACAAATCAAAAGAGCCTTTTTTTGGGGGGGTCCCAAGTTAGCCGTTATTCCAACCCATCTTGTTCTCCTTCATCTTACCTCTGCTAATATGTCATCATGGACGCTGCGATAATTGGTCAAAAGAGGCAACACCGTTTGCAAGATTTTGAGTTGGATTTCAACACCATGTACACTGATATCGGTCAATTTGCGTAGAATCGTCCTCACTGATGTCTATACATAATGATGATGATTAGCCATCTACACTCATTCCACAACATTATGCAAACCTACCTCTGGGATGGCATGAAAGGATATAAGTTTTTGAATGCATCCAATGGCTATCGTGACCAGCTTGACCTGCTTTGTCTCGCATGCCAATACAAAGGGACGTAATGCATCCTCGGACTTTGATAACTCTATCATAAAACGCGCGCGCATTAAGCACATGTTGGCACATACACACACACGTATACAAAGATCCCTTCTTTCACTTACCATTTGCAATATTATAACCTGGTCGTTCCTTGAAGCTTCTTAATATGGCAGAGAGTCGTTCCGCAGCCTTAATATCATCATGTGAGTGATTGGTCCACGGTGTATAGCTGTATGTGTCAACAACGCCTTACTTCTTTTATCTCTGGATGCTTTCGACGTGCTTCGCTGGATAATGTCAATAGCTCCGTTTGGAGGAATGCTGTCAAGCCGCTCATTCTTTATGGGGTCGAGCAATGTTGGCGAATGCCGTGATGATGTGTTGAAAAGACGAGCGAGTGTGCTGGGTTGTGTATGAATGTGTGAGTGTCGAAATGGAAAGACGATAAAAGGGCTCGCGTTGTTGGTCAGTCGAGAGTCTGAATGAACCACCAAACCCCAGCCTTTGAATGATGCCAATGGAGAGAAAAGAGTGGCTGCACAAACACGAGATGACAAGAAAGAAAGGTGGACTCGAAAGAGCAGTGGAGAAGGAAAGGGCCAAGGTCCAACAAAGCGGCGACACATTGTCGTCATTGGAATGTCCGACTATAAGCACATGGCGGCTTTGTGTCCTCTTCTTATGCATAACATCCACCCTTTAATTTACACATGTTGCCATATTAATCAGTCATTCTCAAGACGCATTATGTACATTCAAGGAGTGACCTTTTGGAATATGTTCCTTGACGACATTGGTCCCACAGGTTTATATAGATCATGAAGCTGCTGATATTTTACATTGTTGATATATGATGAATGAAGGATATTATAATTACATTGGCAATGGGGAGGGGGTATTGCATACTGATACTACAAAGACATCTTCTTTTCTAATTGTCGTCAGGGACATTGCTGAGACGGAAAGCTCCAAGAGCACCAAGCATGAACCATGCTGTACTTTGATAGACCCATTTCCCTGTGTATTCTCCTATCAGCCACTGGATAAAGTAGATGCCTTCCAATAAATAAAGGTAAATCCAATCGATGGTGATTTCCATCTCCACGAGAATAATGAGTACAATGACAAGGCCAACATTGATGATTGTATGTGGATGAAAACCAATGCGTAACCAAGCTTCAATGTCGGATTTGCTTCTATTGCGTTGTAGTTTGACTGACATGGCAAGGACGACCCAAGGGACACCAATTACACAGCTAAGGATAGCAACCAAACGACCAAATTGTTCAATGGGTTCGATGGATGTATGGCTTATCAATGGCCAAAAGATGACTGGACCGATGGATGCAATAAGGGACCAAAGGATAAACAAGAAAAGGCTATAGGTCTGTCGTGGATCAGGTTTGATGCACACCATCCAATCGTCACGTGCTGTTCCTGAATGCATCAACGACACCTGTAACACCGACCATCGCATACTCGTTCCCATACGCATACAACTTTCGCGGTAAGGAGCTGTCATTAGACGCGCCGTGTACATGCTTAGTACGGGTCCAATATGACTCAACGTGAGGATACCAATGGATAATGCGGTATCGAGTACAACGGCAAGTCGAAACACGTGATTGGGTTCATTGATCCGATCCACAACACGCCCCGATGCTGTACTTTCAACGACAAGGCGACTTGAATAACCGCCTATATTTTGGGATTGGATTTCGGTCAAATCACGAATGATCTCATGGGCCAAGTTGATATTGTATCCCATAAAAACGAGTGCATTGTCGTTGTAAATACGTTGACTCATGGCAATGGCGCGCTTGATTCCAAAGTAAACAATGAAGCAAGTAGGGATGTCGGCAATAGTGTACTCCTCTTTGATATCATCACCCTGGTGTGCTGTAAATGTGTCCAAACGCAAACGCTCCAACATGGCAGGCAAACGAGAATGAATTCGATCCATGACTTCATTAACATACACGTCGCCTTGTTGCTTTGGATCGGGATAATGCATCAAATCCTGTATTCTTCCAATGATACGCTGATCCCACTCGTTGGCCTCTCTGCAACTATTCACTTGCTTGCACATGTCATCGATAATTGATTTGCACCATTCCACAGCAGCGTTGTTGCTCATCGATGAAAGTCGTTTGGATAATTTGTCGGATAAAAATTCGGTGGCACGTTTGTCAATGGTCAAGCTTGGAATGCATTTGGGTTTATGCACCACTTTGTAGAGGGTGCCACGTTCTTCTGAATAATCCACATAGTCGGTCACCAAAGAATAAAACATGTTGGGTCGTATTTGCGGTGGATCAATGCCCGTTGGAATCTCATCAAGGAATTGAACAGCCTCCAATAATATGGGTTGTGCAGATGCTAGAGCTGAAGCGACATTCTTGGTATCCTTTTCCTTTTCTTTGCTATGAGCAGCAGCCACTGTCATTGGATCAACCACCATCGGACAACGTTCTTTGCACTCAGGGCATGGTTTCGCTTTGTCGTTAATCAACAAGTAGCTGAACTTCATCTTTCGCGTCTCAAACGACTTCAACATCATCCGTGCCCACTGGGTATCAAGGCCAATAAACACATTGTCACCGGAAACGCCATTCTTGACCTGACTGGTCACCCCAAGTAAAATGTCGCTGATTGGAAGTTCACCAGGAACGCCTTCACGTGCACCACACTTTAGAGCTGCTGCTGCTCCAAGAACAAAGCTGAGTGTCCAATTCGAGAGATTCGTAGCGTTTGTAATTGCTTGCATTGTCAATAAAGAAATGAAGGCTCCCGTGTTTTCCACACCAAGCCCTTTTGTTGTTGATCATCATCTGGTGTACACTGTGTTACCATAGGCTGAGTAGAATAGACGTTTCACACGCATTACCTTGCTCGGAGGCTCGGCCCTGTCTCGATTTTTTTCATCAAATGTGGCAATAGAGTAAGAATGTGGCGCTGTTCAGATGATCAAAGAAGGTTGTTGTAATAGATGGAGTAGCCCAATTCACGTGATCCACATCTAACAATGAGCCGCGTCGATGATGATGATGATGATGGTTACAATAAAAAAGATCCAAGGAAGAGGGGTCCATTGTTCGAGTAAAAAGATGTCTCTTTCTTATGACCGAATGGCCTATTGATTGTATCATTTACCCCTGCTGTTAAGATGAATCGGGAATTTTGCGACTTTAGCTATCCTCTTGTTGCTCTCCTTCTCATTTTACTTTCATACGACATTGGTCCCACAGGTTTATTGCTGCTGATATGAATGAAGAAGGATATTATAATTACATTGGCAATGGGGAGGGGTATTGTATACTAATACTACAAATACATCTTCTTTTCTAATTGTCGTCAGGGACATTGCTGAGACGGAAAGCGCCAAGAGCACCAAGCATGAACCATGCTGTACTTTGATAGATCCATTTCCCTGTGTATTCTCCTATCAGCCACTGGATAAAGTAGATGCCTTCCAATAAATAAAGATAAACCCAATCGATGGTGATATCCAGATACACTAGAATAAAGAGCACAGTGAGAAGGACAAAGTTGATGATTGTATCTGGATGAAAAACGGTGTGCAAAAGATAAGCATTAAAGCTATAGTTGTTCAAGTTTTGTGGTAGTTTGGATGACGTGGCAAGGGAAACCCAAAGGGTACCAATCACAGAGCTAAGAATAGCAATGAAACGACCAAAATCTTCAATGGGTTCGATGGATGTATGGCTTATGAATGGCCATACGATAACTGGACCGATGAACGCTAAAAGGGACAAAGAGACAAAGAAGAAAAGGGCGTAGCGCCAAAATGGATCAGGTTTGATACACACCATCCAATCGTCACGTGCTGTTCCTGAATGCATCAACGACACCTGTAACGCCGACCATCGCATACTTGTTCCCATATGCATACAACTTTCGCGGTAAGGAGCTGTCATTAGACGTGCCGTATACATGCTTAAAACGGGTCCAACACGACTGAGGATGGAAATACCAGTAGATAACGCGGCATCAAGTATGACGACAAGTACAAACACTGCATTGGCTTCATTGATTCGATCCACAACACGTCCCGATGCTGTACTTTCAACGACAAGACGACTTGAATAACCACCTGCGTTTTGAGATTGGATTTCGGTCAAATCACGAATGATCTCATGGGCCAAGTTGATATTGTATCCCATAAAAACGAGTGCATCGTAGTCGTGAATACGTTCGCTCATGGCAATGGCGCGTTGGATCCCAAAGTAAACAATGAAGCAAGTAGGGATGTCGGCAATAGTATAATCCTCTTCTTCGATATCATCAAATCGCCCAGTAAATGTGTCCAAACCCAAACGCTCCAACATGGCAGGCAAACGAGAATGAATTCGATCCATGACTTCATTAGCGTACTCATCGGCTTGTAGCTTTGGATAGGAATAAAGCATCAAATCCTGTATTCTTTCGATGATACGGCGATCCCATTCGTTGGCCTCTCTGCAACTATTCACTTGCTCGCACATGTCATCGATAATTGATTTGCACCAGTGGATAGCAGCATGGTTACTCATGGGTGAAAGTCGTTTGGATAATTTGTCGGATAAGAATTCGGTCGCACGTTTGTCAACGGTCAATCTTGGAATACACTCAGGTTTATGCACCACTTTATAAAGGGTGCCACGCTCCTCATAATCCACATAGTCGGTCACCAAAGAATAAAACATGTTGGGTCGTATGTGGGGTGGATCAATGCTAGCTGAAACCTCATCAAGGAGCTGAACAGCCTCCAGTAATACGGGTTGTGCAGATTCTAGAGCTGAAGCGACATCCTTGGTATCCTTTTCCTTCTCTTTGCTATGAGCGGCAGCCACTGTCATTGGATCAATCACCATCGGACAACGTTCCTTGCACTCAGGGCATGGTTTCGCCTTGTCATCAATCAACAAGTAGCTGAACTTCATCTTTCGCGTTTCAAATGACTTCAACATCATCCGCGCCCAACGGGTATCACGGCCAATGAATACATTGTCACCAGAAACACCATTCTTCACTTGATGACGGAGCACGCCAAGTAGAGTGTCACTGATTGGAAGTTCACCAGGAATGCCTTCACGCGCACCACACTTTAGAGCTGCTGCTGCTCCAAGAACAAGACTGAGTGTCCAATTCGAGAGATTCGTAGCGTTTGTAATTGCTTGCATTGGTCAATAAAGGAATGAAGGCTCTCGTGTTTTCCACACCAAGCCCTTTTGTTACTGATCATCATCTGGTGTGCGTGTGTGTTACCATGGGCTTAGTCAAGTAGACGTTTCACATGCATTAACTTGCTCGGAGGCTCGGCCCTGTCTCATCTTTTTTCATCAAATGTGTAAATAGGACAAGGATTTGGCGCTTTCAGATGATCAAAGAAAGATGTTGTAATAGATGAAGTAGCTCAATTCACGTGATCCGCATCTAACAATGAAGATGATGATGGTTACAATAAAAAAGGATCCAAGGAGGAGGGGTCCATTATCCGAGTAAAAAAGATGTCTCTTTCTTATGATGGAATGACCTATTGATTGTATCATTTACCCCTGCTGTTAAGATGAATCGGGAATTTTGCGACTTTAGCTATCCTCTTTTTGCTCTCCTTCTCATTTTACTTTCATACATACGCATGACTGAGATCAATTATCACAACGAACCAAATCGATCCGACAAGACACTCATAGTGCGAAAAGAACAGCCCTACAACGCAGAACCAACACCCGCTGATCTTGTCAAGCACTTTGTCACGCCTGAGAAATACTTTTTTTGTCGATCTCATGGGCCTATACCAGAATTAAATGAGGCTACCCATCGTATTCATGTGGAGGGCCTTGGTATAAAAGATGCTCCCGTATCGTTTTCTGTGCAAGACCTCAAAGATAACTTTGATAAAAAGAATGTCATGATGGCTATGCAGGTAACTTTAATCTCGTAATACCATGTATTAAATGGATCACTCACATCACACAACAACAACCTTATACGTATAGTGTGCAGTAATGTACCGCTTGTCTCATTTCTTCCTAATGATGTGATTCATTGACATCCATAACGTCGTCTCTTTTAGGGCAATCGAAGAGAAGACTTGCATATGGTGAAGCATACAGAAGGGGTTGGTACATACTTGGGTTCCATTACATGAACGTTGACCATGCTTCATAGGTGATTTGGGGTCCTGGAGCGGTGGGAAATGCCATTTACACAGGATGTTTGCTAAAGGACGTGCTAAAAGCAGCGGGTATTGATCCATCAATGGGTCATAATCCTCGCCTTCATGTTGCTTTTGAATCTGTGGAACTGGTAATAATATGCATGAAACGTGTGTATCATATGATCTTATTGTCTATGCATCTCTTAGACCGAAGATGACGAGAAACCTTATGGTGCATCGGTGCCATTATCAAAGGCTTTGTGAGTTTGATGCTTGATGCAACGTGGGCTTTTCTTGAAAAATGTAACCAAAGATGTTAGAGACGAGTACGGTGATGTACTTTTAGCATACGAGGCACGTACAAGGATCGGATTGTAGCTGTGGGGTGATTAACATCATTATAGATGAATGGCAATCCTCTTGCAAGAGACCATGGATATCCTGTACGGGTAGTAATCCCTGGGTACATTGGAGCTCGCTCTGTCAAGTTCCTTCAAACGATACGTATCCAAGATAAGGAATCAAACGCGTACCATCAACAACTTGACTACAAAATCCTTCCTGAACATGTAGGTAGCCGCGGCTAGGAGGGGATGTTTTATGAAAATCTTAACGTGTACTGCTTACTCCTCAGGTTGAGAATGAAAAAGAGGCTGAAAAGTATTGGTCCAAGGTACCAGCCATAGGCGAGTATAATGTGCAATCATTTGTTTGCACCCCTCCAGATGGCATGATGGATGACAATAATGGCCATCAAGCAGTATCTTGTCAAGCGGAAGGTTATGCCTTATCAGGAGGAGGTCGCAGTATCCAACGCGTTGGTAAGTGTAAAAGCATACACCTAGTGATCATTTTATTTTCTTATTGTTGATTTCTTTGGGGATGTAGACGTATCAGGGGATGAAGGTAAAACATGGGTGGAAGCACAATTGCATACGCAACCATTTGAAGAACGTGATGGTGCCTATACTTGGAGTTGGACATTATGGAAGGCCACCGTCAAAGCGCATAAAGGTATTCGCATAATGAGCCGTGCAGGTATGTTGTATTACTGCATTTTGATGACAAGCATAGTACTCACGTGAACATCTATCATAGTCGACAGCGCGGGCAACATTCAACAAGAAAACCCAGTATGGAATTATAGAGGTGTCTTAAGCAATGCATGGCGAACCATGGTGACACCAGCAGAAAAGGACAAGAGATGATGTCAATCATTCATCTGATAGAGCTGAGATCATATACCAAAGCAGCAAATTTCATGTCCATCTTGCGTGCTCTCTCTCTCTCTCTTTTCTTTTCTTTCCTTTGCTTTATTCAATAAACCCATCAACAACAACAACAACACGCCGTATATTGTGGTGCAGTCAAAAACATGTGGCCGAGGCTATCTTTGTCTGCATCCTGTATTAGGGCTATACGACCTATAAAGCCTTTTTCTTCTTTCACCCCTTGTCGCACTACTACACCTTTCCGACCCTTTCTTCAAGTGAACACAACTCCCATTCGACCCACTCTACACCAACAATGCACACCATTACAGCAATTCGGACAACGTCAGTTTACAACGACTCGTCAATTATGGCAGGAATCCAAAGACAAGTTGAAGCAGGTCGCCAAACCCGCTATTGAAAAGACAGAGACAAAGGAACGCAATGCAACCGATCTCGCCATCATTCGACAGCTCATGAAGTACATTTGGCCCAAGAATGACTTTGGTGTCAAGGCACGTGTTGTTATCGCATTATCTCTCTTGGTTGGAGGCAAATTATTGAATGTTCAAGTACCTTTCTTCTTTAAAGACGTGATTGATTCTTTGGGAGTTACGTTTCCTTCCGATGCTACTCTGTGGGCAGTGTGTGGAGCGACTGTTATCGGCTATGGCTTGGCAAGACTTGGAGCAAGTGCTTTTCAAGAATTAAGGAATGCTGTATTCGCTGCTGTTGCACAAAAAGCGATTCGACGAGTTGCCCTGAATGTGTTTGCTCACTTGCATCGACTGGATCTCAGCTTTCATTTGACACGTCAAACAGGTGGATTGAATCGCGCTATTGATCGAGGCACAAAGGGTATCAGCTTTTTGTTAAGCTCCATGGTATTCCATGTATTGCCTACTGCTTTGGAGATCTCTATGGTGTGTGGCATCTTGGCTTACAAGTTCGGTTCCACTTACGCTGCCGTTACCTTCACAACCATCCTCGCCTACACTGCTTTCACTGTCACAACCACCGCATGGCGTACGCAATTCCGTAAGCAGGCCAACGCTGCTGACAATGAAGCTGCTACACGCGCTGTCGACTCATTGATCAATTTCGAGGCTGTCAAGTACTTCAACAATGAAAAATACGAAGCCGACCAATATGACAAACCCTTGCAAAAGTATGAAAAGGCATCCCTCAAGGTGGCATCCAGCTTGGCAGCTTTGAATGCAGGTCAAAATGCTATCTTCAGCACAGCTCTTACAGTGATGATGTTCCTTTCAGCTCAAGGTGTGATCAATGGTACAATGACGGTTGGTGACGTGGTGATGGTCAATCAATTGGTGTTCCAACTTTCAATGCCTCTCAACTTTTTGGGTTCGGTGTATCGTGAATTGCGTCAATCTTTGATCGACATGGACACTTTATTCAACCTCGAGAATCAAAAGGCCATTATCCAAGATGCTCCAGATGCCAAGGACTTGATCTTCAAGGGCGGTGAAATTCGATTTGAAAATGTCACCTTTGGTTATCATCCTGAACGTCCTATTCTCAAGAACGTGAGCTTTACAGTACCTGCTGGTGATAAGGCTGCTTTTGTGGGACCAAGCGGATGCGGGTAAGTGGTTGGATTCTATTGCAGCGTGAATAGGTGTATTAATATGTGCGATCTTATATAGCAAGTCGACCATTCTTCGCTTACTCTACCGCTTCTACGAACCACAATCTGGCAACATTTATGTGGATGGACAAAACATTAAGGATATTCGAGTCGACAGCCTTCGACGTGCTATTGGTGTCGTGCCTCAAGATACAACCTTGTTCAACAATACGATTTATTACAATGTGCACTATGGTCGGATTGATGCCACTCAAGAAGAGGTGTATGACGCTGCCAAACGTGCCCAGGTCCATGATGTCATTATGAGTCTACCCGACAAGTATGAGACAAAGGTGGGTGAGCGTGGTTTGATGCTTTCAGGTAAGTAGAATATGGGATTGTGGATGATGATGACATGATGATCTGATCATTGTGTGTGCAATAGGTGGTGAAAAGCAACGTGTTGCTCTGGCTCGAACCATTCTCAAGAAACCCAAGATGCTTTTCCTTGATGAAGCCACGTCTGCATTGGACACGCATACTGAACAATCACTTCTTGCAAGTTTCAGATCCATCATCCGTGATACGGGCATGACAAGCTTCCATGTTGCACATCGATTAAAAACAATCCGAGACGCTGGTAAGGGCATTTTTAGCACCAACATGATCCCTCGCTTATACTCTTTTTTTCCATTAGACACCATTTTCGTCCTAAAGAATGGCAACATCATCGAGTCTGGTACTCATGAAGGATTGATTGGCATGGATAATGGTATATACAAGACCATGTGGGAAACCCAAGAGAACTCTGATGCATATCTTGATTGAACGATCCACGCCCACTTTACATATTGAAGTCTCTTTCTTCACCCTCCTCCTCCCCTTAAACAGATACATTCGCTACCATTTTCCCCCATCCCCATTTTCTTCCGCTTCTCTTATATAAAGATAGACATACAACAACTTTTCAGCTATACTATGTACTTTACTCAGCAGGGGCCTATTGTGGAACGACATCTAGTAGAAGGAACGCAAAACACCGATACTCCGTAGACAGTCGCAGTGGCTTGGCGAAAAAGTTATAAAAATGGAGTCAAGGCGAGCCACTAGCGAGTTTTTTTCTTTAGACAAATCTTCCAGAATATGGAAAGCATGATGATGCTTCAGGCTACTGTACGATCAAGCTTCCAGTTGCATGATGTCTTTTGGGCATCGTGTATGGGAGGACTGACGAAGCATGTTGGGGCCAACCATAACCACAATGACCAGCATGTTGCCTTTGCGATCTGACTAAATTCCAACCTGGAAAGAAAACCCCTTCCTTCATCAAAACAAGCAAAAAGAAAATGATAAAATGATTTCTTCATAACCTTATGTGCATACGTAGAAGGGTAGCGGTATTATTATTACATAGAGTGTGGTGCCTAATAGGATTTGTACAAAGGGATGACCAGGGGAGGGGTTGTGAGGAATTGTTTACAAAGCGGAAGGTGATAAAGCAAGGAGATGATTAAGGTGTCAAGACAATATCGTCATGGACCGACCCATCACTTGTGCTGCTAGCAGATGAGAAGGGTGATGACATGCCATTCTTATGGTATTGCTGAGAGGGTTGTTGGTCTTTTACTGCTGCTGCTGCTGCTGCTGCTGCTCGTTTACGCTCCATTTTGGCGTAATGAAGCCCACAAGCATTGCAGAGTGTGCGTGCACCATCCGGACCACGGCGCCATTCGGGAGTCTCGGAGCTATTACAAGCATGGCACCGTCCCTGAAAAGGAGCTCGTTTCTATAGGGCAATGTCAATTTGGGGTTTGTTTCATGATGAGCCATTTAAGAATTAAACACATACCCTACGCTTTCGGCGTTGCGAAGTCATCTCGTCATTGTTGTTATTATTGCTGCTGCTGTTATTACTTGATACATCATCATCGTCTTGTTGTTTCTATAATGAAAATGTGAGCAAAGCATTCAATGATCCACACACCAAGAGGAGGTATATCTTACATTGATGACAACGGCTGGGAGATAGGGTGTAGCCTGTTGCTGAGAAAATAGCTGCTGCTTTTGTATCCTCAATAAGGCATTCAGCAGCTCATTGGCTTCCGTGATCATATCATCCACCCAAGGTTGATGGCCGTTGTTCAGCTCTGTAGTTGTCGAACGTTGCTGTCGCACCGTATCATGAATCGTAAGACAATGCTTGGCAATCTATTTAAAAGCAAGTGTTATTTTCTCTTTCTATAAAAGATCGAAATCCAAAGAGAGGTAACTTACATGATCCATGTCTTCTTGCATTCGACGATGGCTAGCTAATTCTTTTGTGTTGAGAGTTGGCTTTGGTTGGATATAAGGTGCAGCAGCAGAAGAGGGGTAATAATGATGTTGTTGTTGATCAAAGCAAGCAAGAGGTGGTTGAACAACAGCTGTCGTCATAGGTGGAGATGGTAGTGATGTTGTGACATTGGTGTTGCTGTTGAATCGTACATCGAGTGACGATATTGGAGGAAGTATTATAGGCCGATCGTTGTTGGTGTTGTTGCTACAAGAGGTGAGGAGGAAAGGTGTTAATATTCATATGCTCACGAGCATGCCCATAATCAACCCAGCAGCACCATCACACCATTGCAGCCAAAGAAGATGTTTTACCCAAGATGATTCATGTGGAATAGGATAAGCAAAAAGAAGAAAAGGAGCAGAAAACACTCATTGGGGACCAAATGGATCAAGCTTTATAAAGCTTTTTTGTGGATACATCTACCGCTGGGTAAAGTTATGTTTGAATCGAGATCTTTTCCAGATACAGTTCAAGAGTTTACAGATTCAGGCTGATGAGGGGCGTTTAAAACCGTAAAATGCACGTTAAAAACGCCTTGTATCACCCGAACATACGGAGGCCTTCTCCGTTGCTAGTGTGCAACACTTCAGTTAATTACCATAATGAGCCCCTTACCCCGCTACGAATCGGATGTTTTTTACCGTAGCCATACGTTATAAACAAGGGATCAACCATGCTTTTGCAGAATCCTCAAATCATCACTTTATTGCCTCAACGATTCAAGAATGGATATAAGCCCTTTTTGAAACGGGCATAAAACATTCCTGAGAATAACATGCCAAGGAGAAATGTTCTTTCCTTCCAATTGGTGGTCTTGAGGAACCAATACCATTACCCCGTATATAGTTTATCTTATCGTTGACTTTGGCCAATTTTATTGGACAAGATCAATAAGCTCTGTATCTATCAAATCCCGGTGTTCAAGTGTGGGAATATTCATGTGACCGTTCGATCGATTGATTATGTACAACTTTATTCTACGTCAAACGCATCCATCCCCTCATCAAAATCATTGTAAAGCGCTATTGCCTGTAGCTGAACTAAACATTGCACTGGTGTCCATAGATCCGGATAATCCCATCATGCCTAAAGGTGATCCTGCCAATCCACCGGCTGCTGACGATGATGTAGAGTTTTGTTGCTGAGGAAATCGCGAAGAAGGAGGTATACTGGTATTTGGATGTGAAGAAGCAGGGAAGCTTGGAGATGAATAATGGACATTGTTGCTGCCGCCACGACTTTGTTGAAGCGGTGATCTGGGAGTGGCTGATGTATGTGAAGCGGGAGACATGGTGTTGCTGTTGTTGTAAAGACTTGCCAACGTGTTGTTGCTGTCACTGTGAGCCATGGAAACAGCTTTCGGGGTGATGGCATCCAAAAGAATATCACGTAATCGATAACATTGTCGTCGCCTCTTGACGAAATAAAACGGCCTTTCAGCAAGTGGAGCAGGACGACTCTCCTTGACAGCATACATCACATTTTCCACTTCCTCATCCGAATTAATGTATTGCTCTTCCTGTGCTGCAGCGTCTGTTGAACTTGGTCCTGCTTGAGTCGTAGGTCCCATTTGCTTTTGTGATTTCTTGGTGCTGGCTTTGGAACTCTTGCTACTTGCTGTGCCTCCTTTTCGATCACCAGCTCCTGCTCCAGTGGCTATCATCACACATGTATTAGTGGTGACATTGCTTGATAATGCAAAAAGGAAAACTCACTTTGGGGTCGACCAATGGCCTTCTTTTGATATGCTGAAAGTAATACATCGTATGGCTGTGATCGTCCAGCAACAGCACGCTTTGCACCCATTGAATGGCTCTTGCACGTCAACGATCGAGTACATGGGGTATTGTTAGGACCTTGAATCACACCACATTGCTTATCCAAATCAAGAGGTGCTACACACCAATGTTAGCATCTCTTCCTTTAACACGTGTTGATATCACTTACGCTTTGGTTTGGGTCCTTTTGGTTTTGTCTCCTTCTTCTTTGACTTTTTCTTTTCAGGCTTTTCTGAACTTGTCGGTGGTCGTTTCGCGGGTATACTTGTTGTATCTAATAACAAAAAAAACCTCGTCATTATCACCCATGATTATCATCACGTATCCAATCCATCCATACCTGAGGCATCAGAGTGCTTTGTGTGTTTCTTCTTATGTTGTCCATCCAATTGACGTTTTGCAAGCGGCTCATCATCCCCATCATCATCATCGTCGTCGTCATCGTCGTCTGAGAAAATCTCTTTGCCGAGTTTTGATTTGTCGTTTGTTGCTAGCTGTGTCAACGCTCTTGGTTTCTTGTTGCCTTTGCCAGCTTTGCCACATGTTTCTATGGGTGATACAATGAATACCCAATGCCGCTCTCTAAGCCATTGTTGCATGTCCTACCTGAATGTGCCTGAAAACTATTGGCAAGGATAGGCCGTTCACATGTTTTGCACTTGACTACGACCGAATCCTCCTCCATAGCATTGGTGCCATATATCTTTTGATCGTTGGTGTCGAAACGTGATACAGTCGGTGATGGTGATCCCTCCGACAAACTTTCCTCGTGGTCTAATAAACTTGACAATGAATACCTAGCCCAAGCACACACACACTCTCTCTCTTTTTCCCTTCCTCTTTCTTTTCTTTTTATTACCTTCATCAAATGAATCCAACATGTTTTGCATTTGTTGCCAGGATGTTGTTGTAGAATCTTGTTCAAAAGAAGCCGTGTCTTTGTCGAGTTTTTGTTCTGAGTTTGAGTCGAGTCGGTGCCAGCTGGTATCTTCTTGAAAGACAGAAAGTGTTCCAGGTGTAACGTGCTTTGACCAGTCTGGGGTGCTTTTGTCTGAGGTTTTAAGCAACGGTTTAGCCAGTGAGCTGATATCTAGATGCATAAGAGTGATGTGGCGCGTTATATGTGTGAGATCAATGTTTCGTGCATGGCTATTGGGCTCTTATCACTCAAATAGAAGATACTACTTTACCTTTTTGAAGGCGGTCGATTTCGAGTCGTTTTTGCTGAATGATGCCTTGCTGCTCCTCTGTCAAGGACTCTATTTGACAATCCAATTAGCCATTGTGTTCCAAGGGTTCTCATCTTGTCCCTCTTCCCTACATTCACACACACACAACCCTTCCTTTCTCTCTCTCTCTCTCTCGCTTTTGAGTACACGCGCTCTCACTCTCTCACTCCTCTCTCATCCCCTAGCATCATGCCTTTTCTTTTGGTGGTCGCTTTGCCTGACATGGACAGGAGGGAATGGGGTCAATGCCGAGATAGACGTGAATAAAAGATGTAGAGATGATAAGAAGAGTAGAGCCCCCCTTTGTTGAAACCTACCCCAGAACGTAATAAGAATTGGTGTGAGCTGTATTCTCTTTCCTCCCAACTCCCACTCGTGTACTTTAGCGCGGAATTCAATGATTCATCATGCACCTTCTTTATCTCGTTGCTATGCCCCACACTTTTATTCATGGCCCGTGCTTCCCAATCATTATCTCCATCTTTTGTTGTCAATATAGAGATACACAACATGGTCATTTACTATAAAAAATAAACATCTTCTATTGAGCGATACTGGTGATCTCGCGTCTTGCTCCAAAAACTAGTCCAGACTATCAAGGTGTAATGCTAAGTGAGAGATTCCAATTGTGATAAGCATCACGCATACCTGATTGGCACCTTTAGTATAGCCATATTGATAAGTGTTAAAGAGACTCTTGCTAGCATTCAATGTCTCCTCACTAAATGACACCTCATGTCGCTTGGCAAGCTTGGGTCCCAAAATCTAATCAATGCTTAATTTAATGTATCGATTGAGAGATCTTGTTCTACTTACTGATGAACATGCACCTGCTTCATGTGCATAACGAGATACTGCAAAGATTGTATTCACCACCTTTATGGCTATGGGTTTAGCTCGTGCATCCAAATCATATGATAGGAAGAAGAACCTCAATACCTGTGTCATGTTTTTCTTTTCAAACAAGTCGACTGTCTGGAAGAGGTCATGTGGAGGCACACCGAGATCCTTGGCGCCGCTAAGAAATTGAGCTATGTTTTCCATCTACACATACACAAAAGGGATCAGCCGGTATGTACTGTACGTAGAACAAGCCCAAAAGGACCCGCGTAAAGATAACGAACCTGTGCAAATGGCACCTTGGATACTTTATATTTTCCTTTTCCAGGCACCAGCTTGCCAATGACCCTGTAGCGATTCAACAATAAGTGGCTGCCAATAACAACACCTAGTGTACAATCATCGTCGTACTTGCAAAGCACCACACCATTTTTAAGGCAAGTGTGAAAATCGGTATTTGGCAATGTTTCATTGATAATTTGTTCAATCCATTCTCGAGCTTGCTGCTCATACTCGATCGAGTACTTTGCTTGGATCTTGCGGGACACGTCTATGCATTTGAAGGTTGCTATTAGCTCGTGTCATCATCTCACAAGGCACATTTTACCAGAGTTGATGCTGTAGGGCACAGGAGCCATGTTGGATAAAACGTAGACCAAGGAAAGAAATGATGATGATATTCCATGATGAATAAAAGCTCTGCTATTTATATGGACACCATGGTAGAAGTTGCAAGTAAAACAACAATGGTAATTAACGACGATCATTATTGTTACAAGTGGATCAAGGAGAATAGAGTTTATAGCTGCTTTCCAGCACGTTGGATCACTCCTTATATAATAACATCAATCTACCATCACTACTACTACAAGACGGCACCCTACATAGTCTCAAGTTCTTTTTAAGGTAGGCCAACATTACGCTACTGTTAAAATGACGATTGAACGTACCAAGAGGACATTTATTACTGCTCTAATGCATCAATAGGTACTTTTATATGAAGGAGGGAGGGAGGATAGGTGACACAAGCATTGTTGTCCTGCAAAGCGGCATTAGAACAAAAAGAGAACCAGCGCCCTCGTTCGTGTCAAAAAGTTAACCTTTTTTCTTTTCTGCTACTGTCACGTTGTCAAGCACATACACGAACCCATCTTGGAAACGCATGACGAGATTACGACAAGCAGCCATTGAAACGCAATCCCCACCTGTGACATGTGTTGGTCACTCGCGTCCTGTGGTTGACATTCACTTTTCGGTGCTCAATGACGAGGGGAAGTACTACATGATATCCGCTTCAAAAGGTAAGCTGATCGTCTTCTTGATCGTGTTCCACTACATACATTTTAACATGCATCCAAAGATAACAAGGCCATGATACGTGAAGGCGACACGGGTGATTGGATCGGGACACTGGTTGGACATCAAAACATTGTATGGAGCGCACGGCTATCTCGCTATGCCCATCGAGCTGTCACGGGATCGGCTGATTGCTTTGTCAAAGTCTGGGACACAAACAATGGTCAAGAACTTGCTTCTTTTGAGAATGAATACACAGTGCGTACCGTCAACTTCAGCCCTGATGCTACACGCATTGTCGCCGGTGGACATGAGAAGAAGCTGAAGATCTATGATTTATATCGACCTGATGCACCAGCACTGGAAGGAAGGGCTTATCAAGGAACGATCCGAGCAACCGTATGGCACCCTTCACATCAAAGTATACTCTTCAGTGGATGCGAGGATGGAAACATTCGTGTTCATGATACTCGAATCATGCGATCCCATGTCACATGCTTTGCTACCAGCGATGCTGTATCATGCATCAATCTTACGGCTGATGGTGAAACGGTCTACTGGGCAGCAAAACATCAAGTATACTTCTGGTCACTTGCTTTGTAAGGATTGATGTCATAAAAGCGTAATCTTCTTCTTCTATGCTCATCACGTGTCGATACAGAGGTTTTTCCCATGATCCTACAATGATCACACGCCATGAAATGTCCAAGCCTGTGAAATCGGTGTCAGTCCATCCAAACGGGGAGAAGTTCGTATATGGAAGTGAAGAAGATTCGGATATCCACATTTGTGATGCCATGTCAGGAAAGGAGCAAGGTAAGTGGGTGGTGGATCATACTACCTTTGAAGAAGTAATAACCTTCTAAGAATAATGCCTCTTATTTGGAATGTCTTGTATGTAGAGACACGCCAAGGTCACAAGGATCGGATTCACTCGGTCAGCTACAGCCCTGATGGAGAGCTTTTTGCTACAGGATCAGGTATGGGCTCAAGACGATTAACTCTAATGTCCATCATCATATGCTAATGCAGTTTCAAAGAGGATTCCCAAATACGTCTTTGGCAAACCAATCCCACAAAATCATATGGGTTGTGGCGGACGACAAGCACATCATGAAAAAATACCACCCAAATGGAAGGAAGATGTTACATTTTGCAATGCTAGCCATCAGACGATATCCGAGTGTATTATGTTTTGTTATACCATCGCTTATAAAAAAGGAAGGATGTTGTGCCAGATCAAAGTGAGGAAGCAGGGGTATTGATGGGTTGGAGAAATAGCCATCTTTGGTTGGATGCAACTTGAGACGATATACGCAACCATGCACATGTGTCGAATGGTTCCACTGAACATGCATCAGGGATACGGGGGAAGATTCAAGGAGCGTTGCTATCCTCATCATGGGATGTATCGTACCACCAGAAAGAGACAAAGAATGTATACCTTTTTGATTTGGCAAGATGTTTACAGGAACAACAACAACAACAAGCGACTCTTACTACTACACAGGTACACAACAACGCTGGTGGTGGTCATGTGGGCCTTAATTGCACACGTTGACTTGCAGCAGCAGCAACAGGCTTGGTATTTTTATGACCCAAAGATCCAACAAGCATATGTATTGCATCGATCACGACATCATCTCACTGGCAAACGACACACCCTTATGACGTATAATGAGCCATCAGGCATGCTTCTTTGTTCGGAACCCAAGATAGAGTATGGAAATCGTGTATCCCCTACATTAAAGCTTGATTAGCCAATCCAATAGCCGACTCCCCCTTATTCGTGGTTACAACCCTATATCAAAGTTTCATCTACAGAGAGAGCTTTTCTTTCATCTTCATCAGTTTAGGCAAGTGCTTCCTTTCTTTGTCACCCTGAGACGATCACTTGCATGACGGAGGGTGTGAAGCCGTTCGTGTCAATAGCAACAAGGATATACACATTTGTGCAAGTAATGATGTGTGTTCTTGCATGATCCTGCACACTTCCAAATGGATGGATCTTCCCCACACACGATACGATGATGACGTTTGAGTCACCCTGGCAACAATATAGCCTGTAATTTATCGTTTTAAATCAAACTTTACGAAAAAAAGGAGAAGGATGAATAAAGTTTTTGCCCTAATTGCCAAGCTATTGCGTTTTATCCGACAATGAATCTTTTTTAGCCAATGCAACTTTATCGAAAAATGAGTGTATACAAATCAGCTATTCTACGATGATGATGATGGTGTCGGTGGATGATGGATGGTGGTAGAAATGAGCGTCGGAAGAAAATGGTGGATGTTCAATGGTGATCATTATCCAAGTAATGGAAAGAAACGTACTATATATAAATGCATGTTTAAAAAAGAACGAATGGTAAAAGGTGGGGATGGGAATAAGGAAGAAAGAATGCTGTGGGGTGTGTGTGCTTGTTTAGGTGCTTGATGGTCAATATGTAAGAGATGATCTGTGTGCATGTATAATGTCATGGTATCGACGATGGGTTGTGGTACATGTTGTATATGTGTGCTGCGAAATTGTGTGTGTGAGAACGTGTGTTTGGTGTAGGTGACAGGAATGGCAAGGCGACTTGATGTCGTTTATAATTGGAGGCGTAGAGCACGGAGTTGACGCTGATCTTCCGACGATGGGATCCGATCCATGGCAACTTCTTGAACAGCCAATGGTGGCAAGCTGTGTTGATAAAAGCTTGAAGGAGGGGGCAGTGCCAAATTGCATGAATTTGAAGACCATGTTGTAGTAGGAGCTGAATAATAAGAATCTTGCTGATGGAATGATGAATCAACCATATCTTCGTCTGAAGACAATGGTGAAGAGCTTAGGGAAGGTGGTGGCGATGGGGGTTGTTGCATTGCAGGGGGTTGTTGTGGCGATGCGGACGTTAGTGATGAGGTTTGGCGCATGCTGTGTAGGGTTGCAGAATGACCACCACTGGTATCAAGAGGATTAAGCTCTGGGTACAAGCCTTTGGGCACGACGATTTGGCTAAACATTGGGTCAGCTGATGGCTGCCTAAGCTTTCCTGTAAGGACATCGGTCTTGGTGTAGTACGAAATAAGGTGCAATTTTTGGTTTGCGGCTGTGCAGATTGAGAAGCTTTGTTTGATGAGTCCATCTTGCTTATATGAACAAGCTGCTGCTGCTTTGCTAACAGGAAGTGCCGTTGATGATGAAGATGATGATGATGACATGGATGTACGACGTGGACGTCGCTTAGTATCAAGCTCACGGTATGTCAAAAAGCTACCAAGAACTCTACTAGGTGACCATGTACGCCCATCGGTCCAGCGACGCATTCCAGCTTCTCGTTCATCCCATGCAAAAACAGACCCTGAACGAATGTGAATGCGCTCCTTTGTTGAAAGTCGACGTTGTACACGGTTGAGAAGACCTCGTCGGCATGCTTCAAATACAATGAGTGCGTCTTGTGGTGTCTTGATGTATCCGATGTATGTTTCCATAATGAAAAAGTAGTTGGCGTTGGGAGAACAGGATGAATGAAAAGTGAATAGGGAAAAGAAAATACGGGGGAAATAGATAAAACCACAGCAAGGAAGCTTCTATTTATATAAGATGAAGGCCGATTAGCTTATTTGCATTTTGATCAGCATACCAAAAGGGTCAAACAGAGTACATCATGCATGTAGACCTTCTTGGCAGGCGAATAACTTGGGGGTGGATGAAGGTGAGCGTGACACTAACTCTTGGGGCTTTATGCTGTATCGGGAAGAATCAAGATTCTATCCTTTTTCTTCAAGAGTCTCGACCACTCCGCTGCATTGCATGTTTATAATCCATTTACCAGCAGTCAAGTGCCAAATCTTCTCGTCATATCATTTAAGGTTTCAATCCACTCATACCAAAGTTGCATGTCGGAAAAACATCCATAATTACAACCATTTGCCTATCCCTGTCGGATGTTGGGGGGAGGGGGAAACAGACAAAGAAGAAGGATACAAATCATCTTTGCTTAACTGTAAATGTCATATGCCATCCCAAATCTCGGAAATGGCGGGAAAGCGATCCTTGAAAATACAAAGTCTAGACTTGGCTACGATTCTTGCACACGAAAGGTGAAATGAAAAAGAGCTTGATGTATGCTCGGACAAAGCCGATCATGAAAACTATCATCTTGGTGTAGGATTATTACTTGAGACACTTATGCACGCTCACTTGTGAGCACCAGTGCTGAGAAATGCGAACATGCTCTCATCACCAACCAACACCAGACCTCCCCCAACCCGTGGTTTTGATGCAGCATCGCACATTCCCCTCACTCTTTCTTGGGATAATAGCCATGAACTAGGTCTAGCTGTCCCACGACAATCCCTTGTGGACGAATCACTCTTGTTGCTGGATCTAAAGCCCCTATTGCCCTTAAGGTCTTTAGCTTGCCACTGCAACAGTCCTCATTAAACTATGACATGTTGTTGATCCCACCCTTTACGGCTCTTGTTTGGACGTTCTCTTGCATGCGTTTCGGTAAAGCTTCATGGATAAAGTAGAATTGTTCTTTTTTCTTCTACGTGGCATCACACTTTTGCAAGCCAGCAGACCCAAAGGAGGGGGAGGAATCGCGTTATTATTAAAATGGTCATCGAATTGTCAAACTCAAAGTTGCATTATTTTGGATTGCTTAATACAAACTCATTTTCCGTGCCTATATTGTGTCGTCCCACATTTGGCGGGTGATGATGATGTTTGTGTGCATGCCCAATTCCGATAGTCTTTGTACGACACCCCCCAACAACCGCACCAAAAAGCTTGTCCACATGGAAAGTCTGTTTTTTTCTTTGCTAAAATGATCAAGTCGGATGCACTTTGGGGGTGCTCCACTTTAAACTTTAATGCTCGATCATCATTCATCCCTGGCTGAAGTTTTAACAATTGAGTGCTACAGATGACCAGCTCTATCATATCACCCTCTTATTTAATAGCCGCTGCCGATAGCTTTTAACATATTACTACTTTGGGTGGTAACATGCATGAGCACGCTGCAACGAAGGAGCAGCAGCAGCCGTGTTGCTATTTATAAAGTTTGAGCCGTGACAAGGACAATGAAGCAAAGCACTTTGCCTAAGCCTCTTATGTGCATGGCACATGAAAACGGTTGGTTGTCTTGCTGAGCATTGGTCTTTCAACAATAGCAACTTTTTAGCTTTTTGACACAGCCCAAAATACACTTTCAGATTCATCTCATGGACCTGGCCATCTATGTATACACCCCGCTTTACTGCTTCGGTTGTTTTCCAATGTTATAAACCAAGAGCTTGTGTGACAAAGAGGCATGTTTCTTTGTGCAAATGAACCCCAAATGAGAACCTGCCCAAGCATAATCTTAATTGACTTGCATGCATATGGTGAACAAAAAGAATAAAGTAACAAGGGGCTACGTTAGATTGTTACCCAGGGGAACGAATGATGCATCGTAAACAGGAAACATTGCCTTTACGAACCTCCTATTTCCAACGCGGAGTCGACATGCTCAACTTATGCTCACCTTTACATCACTTTTTTGCACAACGTTGCACGATGTATGGAAGGTCGGATCGCCTGCTGCTGTCTGTTTGATGGATATGAGCCAAAAATCATGATCATCCATCGGGATGATCGCTCCTCATATACGCATCATACCAATGATCAGCATAAATATCGGCGCAATAAGCTAAAAGGTATATGAAGATGATAGCGTATGCTGTATAACATTCCAACCAATGCCGATTGCATTATAAGTTGTAACAGCATTGTTACTGTCTCTTCTATTAAGAATCATCGAAGACATAACTTTCCGAATTTTATCTCTTACTTGACCCTTGCATCATACTCCGGATGTATCCACATTTTTGGCTATATGACCCCGTTGATGGCTCAAACGACAGGAGACAGTAACAAGTACATGGCAACTTCTAGCATGACATTAAGCATCTATTACATGCTCAAGATCGATGCCAAATGCTGTTCTTGTATGTGGATGTAGCGCGCTGAGTTGATTTCACATCATGATGATGGTAAATTTGACATGAACAATTATAGGACAATACCCGTCAATCTCATCTATGATGAGTGGCGGCGCTTAACGAATTTGAGAATACTTTAATATAGTGGTGTTATTATGAGTTCTTCTCAGCAGGGTAACACTGGATCATTGTTATATCATCAACAACAAACAAGCGCTCAACACGTTCCTTGTTGGTGGAAAGAATGATGAGGAGCTACCAATGTCAAAGACAAGTGGTATGCTTGATGAGTTGTTACACACCCATTGCAATCGTCAGGTTGAAATCTAGAGTGTGGGGCACGGATCACACGCTTGAAGGCTTGTTGTAGTATCTTTCATACCAAGGTTCATAAATCACAATGCTTGATCATGCATTGAAATACATTCTTTATGGTGAAAACGATGCATTAAAGGGGGGAGGTGTGTGTTACTCGTAGGGATTGACTTGTAGTAATGATGTGCAAGCAAACTACAATATACTTGTTCTTATTGCAATGATGTCCAGGGTTCACAGCTCCCAAGCTAAACTCAAAACCCCATGGTTTAAGCGCTGGTATCACAGGCATAAGGTGCCACAAGCATTTTTTGGGGGGAGTGTAGTAGATGGACGGCGTGAGATAGTGAAAGAGTAAAGGCGCCTCGACTTGTCGTTTATACATATTGAAACAAGTGTGCATTTCTCCTTGCTCTATAACAATGACACCAAAAGCAAAATTATCCCGCGCAAGCTTATCACGTTGTCTCTCTCCTCTAGTGAACAAGTAAAAAGGACCCGCCATTATGCTCTTCTCCTCCTTCAGATGCAATGCATAATGTGCAGCTTGGCTTCTCCTTGGCCCCTGTTAAACCCATCACACGTCTCAACTCCCACGCATATACATAAACTTACAAGCATAATAATCGGAGGGAACTCTCAAATTTAGAAAGTGATTCCTGGGAACCCGAGTCAGTCTTGTTAACTCTGATCACGAAAGGAAAGAAACATTGGAGAGGAATATGCATAGGCAGTATAGGTTATTACCCCGGTGATCTGCCGGTCGTCAACCTGTTATCCCACGTATTATGGTGGCTCTAAATGTAGAAAATGTGAGGACCAATACCTGTTTAGCTCATGATGCCCTGATAAAACGTATACGCATATACACTACCTTTAATCACTACGCCTGACGCCAAATGTAACATGTGGCTTGCATATCATTTCAAGTGACAAGTCTCAAGAAGACGTTATCAAGTGAGCCAATAGGTGTGAAAACAGGTAGATTCTACCATGTAGACCAATTAATTCGGTAGTAGCATCGGCGTATTGTGTGCCACAGACCAATGCTTCTCGACACAATGCAGTGAGAAACATCTTGTCCCTCTCCTTCTCTCCTCCGCAATACACCATCGTTTGCCTTTGACACATCACGCCATCAACCCCAAAAACTGGACACATGCATCTTGATATCAAAACAGCTTTATTGGGTGACAACAAAATGTGGTGCATTAATCGACCAGGCTTTTCATCTCCTGAACCAAGGTTTGGCGCGCTGATACCTCCTTTCTTGCTTCCACTCCTTTTTGTCAAATCTGTCAACTTCCATTTCTTGATTGAATCGACAACGATGCTATCCCCAATCTCATGAGTACCGCTGCTCCTTCTTGCACAATGTAGGTACCGCTGCGATGCATCGCTTTGATGAGACGATCGCTTACGCTGATAGATATGGTCTCTTGATAGTAGGGAAGCTGTACACTCATGCTCAGTATCCAAGTTCTCACACACAAGTCCTTGTTTGCATTTGGGTTGACAATGATTGATACGACGCGTCACCTTGAGTGCATCATGATCCTCCTTGGCTTTGCTGTATTCAAGTACACAACCAATTCGCCAATACAGCACCATGTTCAATCTTCGATGATGAAGCGTAATGGCCACAACAAGGAACTACCGAGTCATCCCTATCAACATCCTCAAGTATGATACTAGAGAAGCGCTCCAAGCGTACGTCAATATCAAGCGGTGGATGTAGGTTGTTTTGCTTGCTTGGTAGTCAAGGAACAATGCAACGGATCTGATCCATTTTGTTGCGTAGAAACCAAACAGTGGTACCCAAAGTGATATGGTTTTTGAGACGCGATACAAGGTAGTTTCGATGATGGTGATGTCGATGTCGATGCTAGGAAGAGGAGCAGACCCATGGGTATCGTTTCTTGGTGTTAGTCATTGAGTTGTTTCATGGACGGGTGGTCTTGGATGCATGTAGATGGCGTAATTTATAGTCGATTGCTCGTAGTTATACAGGGACTTTTAGGAATGATGGATGACAATAAAGTTTAGCCAACAACGTATGTAATACTTAGAGCTTGTTCTCTTTCAAAAATGTACTGTAATCTGCATGTTTGAAATGTACATCATATTTAACTCGCCACTTGACGCATCGATTCTTCTTTTCTTTTCATCATTTATTGTGTGCATATCCA